TATATGTATATATATATATATATATAATATATATTCTAGCTTTCTCTGCCACTCACCAATCCTGATGATTGCTTTGCAATAATTGTCATTTCTTGGCAGAAAGCAGTTTTTCAACTTACATTAAAATTATTCAAGTAACATATATGTGATGAAAGGAATTCTGTTTGCTAACGTTTCTGCCTCGTCCCACGTCCAAATATTATTATCTATTAGTATTATACATATTTAGATCGATTGATGAACAGAAGTTATTTTTCTGAGTAATCATTTTTTAAAATAACATTTATATTGTTCAAACAATTTTGATGAGTTCACAACCGTAATTTAATATTTTCGCAATTTAATATTTTTATTATTAATTTATTAATTTAATATTTTCGAATATATTAAATACAATTTTTGCTTACATCTTATCATGCATGAAGCTGATCATTAAGTTTTAAATCATTTAACAGGTCTCTTTAACTGTATTTTATAGCAGTATATTAATGTTATTTGCACAAAAATAATTATTGTAAAATGGTTAATAATATTAGACTACCTTTCTAAACAACTTTATCTTAAAATGTAGCGCATAATTACATTATAATAATAATAAAATAAAAATAATTAATTCTCTTAATTTTAAACTCTAAAATTCAAAGCGTAATAATAGCTGTAAAGGAAAATAACTTTAAATTAGAGATACACAAATACTTATAGAAAAACAATACCTTTATAACTGTACTGTCACCCTTAAAGGTTCCCAGGTTCAACAAAGGAATTGCTTGAAACATTTAACATTTACAACCAATTTTATTAAAACTCAATTTTTCAAACAAAAACACACTCAAAACATTTCCAAACTCTATAAAGTAGTTATATATTTCCAAATTATACGTTACTTCAAGTTTAAAATTTATCAACACAAAATTATCTTTTCAATAAAATGCAATTAAAAATCTAAGGCTCAATATTCTATTGCCCCAAATCTAGGAAGAAAAAAACAATTAAGAATAAAAGGCACACTTATCTTAAAATCTACTAAAATCAATTAAAAATATAGATCACAATATTCTCTGAATCCTGTAAACACGATTACAAATAAAAGGCTTATCTTAAAATGTAGTAGAAACAATGAAAAGTCATGGTAAATTATTCTTTTAAAACTGTACTAAAAGCGAACTTAGAGTTTATAAATTCAAATCAAATTGCGGACCAAATCCCTGGAATCCCCACCGGTATTGCCGCCAGACTCGTGGATCATGTCAACATTCCATCTTTTGATAAACAGCACTCCAACACTTCAAAATTCTTTGTACTTCCTTCTAGTAAGGCAGTTAGCAATTGTGGGACAACGGACTTTATGCATTGAGACGCTCTGGGTTGACAAAGAGATTCGAACATAGCGGCTCCGGAACTCAGCTCATCACTTTCAGTCATCAACTTAGCGGCTTCGGCTTAACCTTGCTCAAAATTCCAGCTCATCCACTCAGGGGCTCCGACCTAGTTCATACTTTTCAGCGACTCCAACTTTAATTCATCATCCTCTCAGCAGTTCTGTCTTTGTCCATCATCTCTCAGCCATTCTTCACCACCTTTTTATTCTCGTGTCATGAATCTCGGACTGACCCGTTTTCGTCCCGCAAGCAAAAGCGCAACTAGTGAACGTCACAACAGAAAAAAGTTCCATGAAAAAAACAGTCACAAATTAAATAATACATTATAAGAATGATGAAACAATACTAATTAAATATAAATAAACTTAAATACACATAATTCAACCCAAAAATCCTTGTTTAAAAGGATAATTCAAATTTATAATGGTGGTACCACCTGGAGGCAAATCATGTTATACACCATAAACACTCACAAGAATTCGAAAATAAGCAGAGCTAAGCAGTGCAGCAATCTATTGATGAAATAGGCGAATTATTTCCGCTGAAAAGTAACCCATCTTTAAAAGTATTGATCAAGAAAAAATAAATAAATAAATTTCCATTTATTACATAACTTTTGTTAATTTTATGCTGATGACAACTAAAACAATATGGAAATAAATTAGGAAAAACTGGATCCTACCACGTGATTTTCCAGCCTATAAAAATCCTCGGACAACAATAGATAGCTGTCACGTTATCGTTAGACATACTCGAAATTGCAACAAGCTATTTTTTTTTTTTTGCTTTTTTCTTTTACTAACTAAAAAAAAATAGTAAAACTTTGATTTTTCACTTATAGGGAACACCGTGTGATTTAGTTACAGGAGAAGAAAGAAAAACTGTTTTACCTGAAAATAAAGAAGCTAACCATGTAGCATGTACTATAGAAATGGTATCTGCTGATAAAAAATGTAAGTCCTTCTCTATATTATTAATTTGTTTGCTAGAATTAAGGTGACCAGTTAGGCAAAGTAAATTCCATTTATGTGCATTTTTTGGTATATTAGGACTAATATTATTGAGTATTATTTTTTTTAAGATAGGCTGACATTAAACTGTATATTTATTCTTCCTAAATTAGCTCAGGATGAGTTATCTATTTAGAAGAATAGTCCTTGACCTGATTCCAAAGCTTAAAATCAGGCCTAGTGCCTATTTCTGAGTTTACTTAATTGAAAGATATTCAGGATAAACACATTAATTTTTCTATTATGCTTAGAACCAACCTCCTGGGTCAACATTTTTGTAGTTAGAATTAAAAATGGTTAAGTGATTTAGCATGACTAAGATGTTATAAATTAATAGCGTATTGTATTCATAAGATAAAGTATATTGTGTATAAGATGGAGTATATTATGTATTCATGAAATAGAATGTATCATAATTCCTTGCTCTATATTTAGAGTGATGTTTAAGAAAGTAATTTTAATTAAAATTGGTGTTTAACTTATTAATTTTCTATTATAAAGTTGTATGTTTTGAATAGTTTAACTGCTCTTTCATGTTCTAAGGTGTTTTCATAAATTTGTATAACAGGATAATTAAGATTTCTTAAACAGTTATAGGATATTTGTTGTTCTAAGAAATTTTCTTTATGACAAAAAAAAAAAAGAATTTGCTTAATATGCTACAAATATATTTTCAGATGAAGTAGCAGTTATTGATGAAATTCAAATGATTAAAGATCAAGGTAGAGGCTGGGCTTGGACCCGAGCACTTTTAGGTATTGATGCTGATGAAATTCATATTTGTGGTGAAGAAGCTGCAATTGATCTTGTAAGAGATATAGCAAATTCTTGTGGGGAAGAACTTGAGGTATGAGCATTGGTTAAATATTCACATGTATTAAGTTTGTATGACTGTAATTTGTTATAAAAATGAAAATTATTTTCATCTCTTCTTTTCTGTTAGGGTCAATAAGTTTTAATAGCAAGTATAGTTCTTAAAGTTTGAAATTTACTTTTTGTAATTAGTTTCAGTGAAATTAAAACTTGCCAAAAATTTCAGCATGATATGATATGAATACATTGCTTAATGGATACGTTCATTGCTTCAAGCATGATATTATTTCATTGCTTCATGAGCATACATTGGTATTCCTGAAAATTGAATTGAAACTGTAACAATAGACTTATTGAAAGTATTCAATAAATCTACTAAAATATATATTAACAATAGAGTTATGGAGGAATATATTAGAGTATAAGTTATATATACAGTAGAGCGCCGATTATCCGAACCCTTATTATCCGAACGTCCAATTATCCGAACTATGTCCCAATTCGTTTTTTTCCCCTTTTTTCAAATTTAGAACTTCTTAACTTATCGACAATTCTAAATTCAGAAGAATAAATAATATCCACTACATTTAATGACCATATTTAATTTACAACCTTTTTCGCAGTTTTCTTATAGTAGCTATACATACAGTTAAACCTACAAACCCTTTTAGCCCTCTTCAACTTAAAATTGTTTTCCAAGAATGCGAGCTTCATTTTGACAGTCTAGAACGTCAAAATGATGCTGATCCAGTTCAGTTGATTTAGTTAAAAAGAATAAAGGCTTCTCAAAAAAGAGCATCTTCTTTAAAACAAAAGTCTTTACTGAATTTCTTTTGAAATGGAAAATAGACAAAGAAGGTTTAAATCGGTAATTGACAAAAAAATTCAAAATGGGAAAAAAAGGAAGTAAATAAATAAAAACGATAGAAAAATTGCTGAAAAAAAATTTTTAAACACGCCAGAGCTATTTTAAATAGTACTGCCAGTTCTAAGCCTGGAAAAAGTGAGAAAAGGGAAGTTAGAGCATAAATAATAATCATTTAAACTAGATTTTAAACAACTTTCCAATTATCCGAACTTTTCATTATCCGAACCACGCTCGGTCCCGAGCAGTTCGGATAATCGGCGCTCTACTGTACTTTTGAAAATAAAAAATTTTGCTTTCATCAAAAACCCCCAAGTTTTTGATGAAAAACTTACATGGGCTGGGATTCTTCAAACCCAGTTTCTTACAAATCTGTTTAGTACTATCATAAATTTTTAGAAAGTTTAAGCTTTATACAGTCAAACCCCCGCTATAGTGAACCTTCAAGGGACCGAAGTTTCGGTTTATCCGTTACGCAGGCAGTTTAACTAATGGTTCCTTAACTCCTCCCTACTTTTACACATTATTCAAATAAATGACTGAAAAATATTATGTAGTAGCAAAAAATTTGTTATTTTTCATTACTCTTCGTCTTGCGTACAAAAAAAAAATTAATAATCTCTAGCTGATGAGCAATTCTCAACATCAGATATGGAAACACTTCCCGACCCTCAAATAATTTTTCCTGAATTTCTGTTATTCCGTTTTTTAAAACCTGCCATCCGAGCACATAAAAGTAGTCTCATCNGTTCAACAATGAATCAAGATCGTTTGGCATCGCTCGCACTTATGTCTATTGAATACGACATTTTGCGTAGTTTGGAATTCGACAGCATAATACAAGATTTCGTTGAATCCAAAAATCGCAAAAAAGTAATATATTAGATCATAAGATTCTGCAAAACAATTTATTACCGAAAAATATTATATTTTTATTTGTATCTTCATAATTTTGTGCAAAATACACTTGTTGTTTTTATAGCTAAATTATTTTTGTCAACAAATTTTTTTCTCCCAAGTTTTTCGTAGGCCCCTGAATTTCGTAGTACTTGATGAATACTTGGGTGATCTTTATCATTCAAGTAACTATCTAACAACCTTGTAGTGTAACTACCACTAAAATTATACAATTTCAATTCACTAGTATATAAGACATGTTAACTCGATACTATCTGGAGTTACCCTTTGATAGATGGTGGTTGACATGGTTGGTTACCCAACCCCACTTTGGTGACTTTCAGACGTGATGTGAACATGCCTAACTTGACAGTAATGCCCATTTTGATTTGAATACGCCTACTTCGGTAGAGGCTACACACTGATCAGTTGACTTGCTATTTGTGACTGTGACATTGTCCTCCCTGAACTGTTGTTACTCAGTCTCAATCACACACCACCGTAGCTCGTACACACTTCACTGCTAATAGCAACACAGGATTATCCACGCATACAACTGTGATCTTGATATAGCTTTCACGGCTAGCACTCAAGGCCCGGTAATCTTAATACAGTTCTCTCATCCTTTTGCATAACAGCAACTAATCAACTAGTGATACCCATTCATCGAATTCTATTGCAGATAAAATTCTGGTGGGAGAGTATTGTAGTGTAACTACCACTACAATTATATAATTCCAATTCACTTTTATATAAGACATGTTAACTAGATTCTATCTTGGGGTACCTTTAGATAAATGAAAGTTGACATTGTCGATAACACTCACCTCACAACCTGTAACAGTGGTTTTTCAAGTAATTTTGAAAGAAGCATAAATTGAGAATCATCAGTAGCTGTGCAACCTGTGTCATAAATGTATTGTAGCTAATAATGGTTACTTTGAATGTATAATAATATTGGCTTTAGTAATTTAATTACATTGCTTCATTTTGATAGTGATTTAATGTGATATTTTCATATAATGAAATATATTCTAGGTTTATTTGCAGGAATAGTTTACCTCATGCAATATACTAATCTATGTTATATTTTTAGATCAGAAGATATGAAAGACTTACACCTTTAACCTTAGAAAATAGAGCCTTGAGTAAGTATAATTTGTCTTTAAGTAAGCTAAAGATAGATTTCTAGTATATTATATTTATTTAATTTTTAATGAGTTAGTTCCTTTCTATTTTTTATTAAATGTTTTCCTTCATTTATTATTTTTAGTGGATTTAAATAATATTCAACCAGGAGACTGTATTGTATGTTTTAACAAAAATGACATCTTCAATGTTAGTTTAGAATTGGACAAAAAAGGCTTTGAATGTGCTGTAATTTATGGTGGACTTCCCCCAGGTACTTTCTTTTAAAACATCAGCTAACAATCATGTAGTTAGTTAGTACTCAATGTCTCAAAATTTCTTAATTTTTAGGTACAAAATTAGCCCAAGCAAAAAAATTCAATGATCCTAATCATCCATGTAAAATTTTAGTAGCTACTGATGCCATTGGCATGGGTTTAAATCTGTAAGTATATTTTTCTTTAAAGAGCTAAATAATTTCACTATTTAAACTTTTTTTATATAATGTTTTCTCTGTTTCTTACTATTTTTTATAACTGTTTCAATAAAATATAACCATTCTCCTTCTACTTAAGAGAATGATGAATCAACTGGAAGGCGTTTAATGAACCTCTTTTCTTATTTTAAAAAAAAAAATTATTTTATGATTGACAAAAAAAGAAAAACTTTTGATGCTATTCCCATACCTTACAACTGGTCGTAACATGTTTCACACCCAAAATTTTCAGTGTTTTCAGAATGACTCTTGACAATTTTAAAGCTATGTAGATCTTCATTGGTACAGTGAAGCCCTGATTATCCTCGAATTCCACAAAAAAAATTTCAATTAAAGTGATCTATCATCGAATTTTTTTTTTCCTTCAAAAAAGTGTATTTTTTTCCCACTTTTATGTATGCTTATATGAAATAAGCATGTACTAATTTTTCCTTTACCATTCATTGTTTCAGTAGAAATAAAGCAAAGATGTATATTTAAAATGTACACTTATGAATGAATAAATTTTAAAACTATTTTTCATATTTCGACCTTACTTTTTGAGTTTTTTCTGATTATCCACAATTTCTGTTGTCTGAGATGCTCTTGTCACCTAATTCCATGGATAATCTGAACTCATCTGTATTTCAATAAGGTACCCTAGAGCAGTGTTCCCCAACCCGCGGTACCGCGGCTCGGGATTTGATATGCGGTCCGGTGTACCGGGCCGCCCATTTCAATTAAACTAAATTTAAATTCCTAGGTTTATACCCCAAATTAAAAATATCAGTGTTCCATTAAAATTTTATTTATTTAAAAAAAGGGGCTCCGAAGGTAGTGACATAAATTTTATAATGTTTGTAATCTATCGTTGTCTTCGATTGCCCCCAAATGGAACCATCTCATTGCAAAGAAACAAGCTCTGGGTTCTCATTGATTTAACGTTCTAGTAAGTTAAAATGTTAAATCCCTTTATATTTATTTTTTGGTGCAACTGTATTTTATTTTGAAGGCATGTTTAAATACAATTAAATTTAAATTAATAAATAAAAAATACAAGCAATCAACGTCTCGCCCCCCCCCCCCNAGGCTGCGGTAAAATTATCAAACGTTAACAGGTCCACGGTAATAAAAAGGCTGAGGAACACTGCCCTTGAGCATCGATTGTTGGAACCTCTTTAATCAGAATATCTCTATTAACTAATTTTTTTCCCGTGTACATAAAGTTTTTTTTCTTTTTTTTCTAATTCTGCTATATGTATGTCATTTAAAAAGACACTCTTTTTGCTGCATGATAACATAAAATTTATCATTTTATATGAGTAACAAATGTTAAGTTGGTGGAAACATGTAATTTTTTTAAAGAAAATAGTATACCTTTCGGAGCAAAACTAATTTTAGATTTGAAATCCCTTCACCTGAATTTAGTTTTTGTATAAATGTAACGAAAAATTTGTTCCTAGAGTAATAACTGCCATACCAATTTTTTAAACATTATTTTTCAGGAGTATCAGGCGAATTATATTTTATTCCCTAATGAAACCTGTTATAAATGAGAAAGGAGAAAAAGAAATCGATACTATATCCATTTCCCAAGCTTTACAGATTGGTGGAAGGGCTGGTAGATTCAATACTCAATTTTCAGAAGGTTATGTCACAACTTATCGAGCTGAGGATCTTGATACCCTGACGAAGTTAATGAGCAAAGAAAACCAAGTTCTGGAAAAAGCTGGGTTACACCCCACTGCAGATCAAATAGAAGAATTTGCTTATCATTTGCCACAAGCAACACTCTCCAACATAATTGTAAGATATTAATATCATTCTGTTCTAGCTAAACTGTATCTCTAAATCATTCAAAAGAAGAAGAAAAAACAGTTGCTACCATGACTTTACAAAAAACAACAAAAAAATTAACTGTGTATGCTTCTCACTCTCATATAGTAAAAACTATTGAATGAAAAATATGAAATATCAGACATTTTTAGAGAATTGTTTAAGGAACATTTTGATATGAAAATATTATTTATACAGACATTTAGATTTTAAGTATGTCTAAGTTAGTGGTTTTTGTTTTCCTTGTGCTGCTTAACTGTATTCAGCCTAAATTATTAAGGTTATGTTTATGGTTTTTACAGTCATGCACTCTAATGTGTGACAATTCAAAACATGTTTAGCTTTATTTAAATTTCTAATTAATTGTAGAGTAATTGATTTGTAATTTACATTTTGTTTAGGCATTTTAGCTTTGTTAAAGTAAAGTGTAGACTAATTGCCGGACAATTATAATTTTTCAGAGCCATCCACTCGCATGCCTGAAATGGAAAGAATCTTGATCTTTCTTTTAAATTTTGAACTAGTTTTGTAGTCAATCAGCTTCGATTCGATAAAATCCATTTATATAAACCAGAATGTATATTTGTTTGGAAGATAGCATGATTCAGCAGTCCGCACTCATTCAAAAGAAATTACTTTTTGATTATTTTAATTAAGAACTTGATGTTAGTATTTATGCAAAATATTATAAAGAGATGTTTAAAACTCTAGCCAGTGTTTCTAATCCTAGATATTTATAGATTAATTCTATGTAGCTTAAAAGTATCAATACACTGTTCGGCGAGAACTGATAGGGAAAATAAAGATATAGGGTTATTGCTTATTGTCAACATTACCTACATCTACCAGTTCCTTGCTAAGTTAGTGATTCTTTTCTTATCTTAGCGTTTCTGTTGGTCAAATTCACTCTGCTTGTCTTAACTTAGGCCAACGGTTATGCCAAGCGTCCGGTGACTTTGTTTAAGTTTGCTATCAGTTCTTGCTGAACAGTCTATAGTTTACCTGTAGATAACCAGTGATATATCATGAAATATTGATATTTTTTAAGTGTCACAATAATGATTATGGCGGAAGTTGTTCTCCACCAGTAGCCGCTAATATTCGTATAGTGGAAAATAACTTTTCATGATTGTTCATTTTGGCCATTAATGAATGGATTAAACAATTAACAGTCTCCAGGAAAGAATAAACAAATTGTTTAGTGAAATTTAGATTTTATTAAGCATAATTGGTGATATAGAGAATGGCCATTTCTTCATCCAAAGAAAGAAAATCCCTTAAAGGGATGAAATCAGAATACTCTCTTATTGAGAGATCATACAGCCAGAATATCATTTCTGACGGTTAGGAATTGAGACTGGGGACACTCCCAGTCTCCACAATTTTGAAATTAAAAGTGAATACAATTGTTCCCAACGGACACAGAAAGTATGGGCAAGAGATCAAAAATTGGCCAATTATCAAAATATAACATAGCCAAAACAAAGACAACCAGCATATCAATATTGGCTTTAAAAGAATACCTTGGCGATCACGAGTCGCCAACAAATTTATGAGAATTATTACAACCATGCAACTGAAACATTTAGCGATTTAGAATAAAAAGTTTTAAATAGATTTTTGTTTTCGATTAGAGGCAACAGTGAATTAATATGTCTGCATTAGTAATGAAATAAAAAGTATCCGTTACATTGATCTATAAGAGAAGAATAAATATTTTCTTCTCATATTAGAAGATTAAGTCTTTGATTTATTTTAAATGTAATTCTATTAATAAAAATAAGCTTAAGTAATGAAAGATATTTTAAAAGGATAGAAAATAAATATGTAATGCCAATTGTGGCATCACATATATATTACAAGATTTATTCTTGTACTAATATATATTATATCATGAATACCATACCTAACAATAAACACATTCTATATTTTAATTATTGAATTTACAATAAATATTGAATGTGATAATGTCATGTGAATTAAATATAATTATCAAATAAGATATCACGAATGATAATAAATTTCATTTTGATAATGAAAATATTTTCCAATGTAAAATTAATAATAATGTTTAATAAACCTTGAAAGATATCATGATATATCATAAAATATTGATATTTCCTGACAATATATTGTCATATAAAAATTTTGATATCATCCATAACTACTGTAAATTTCTTTCTATCTTATTTAATTCTTTCTCTAATTAATTGGATACTCATTCTAAACTATAAATTAAACTTTTAAAAATACAAATGAATTTTAATCATGCTGCTCGGTAAAAAACAAAAACAAAAAAAAACATTTTTTCTTACTAAGCACAATTTATCAATTAATTTGTTTTTAAAACAAATTTATGAATGCATATTTTCCTGTCTAATACAAACTTAACAATGTTTTTCTCTTAGGATATCTTCAATAGCCTCTGTGTGATAAATAGCTCATCTTATTTCATGTGTGATACAGAAGGATTCAAAGCTTTAGCTGATATGATTCAAGGAATACCACTGCCTTTAAGAGCACGCTATGTTTTTTGCTGTGCACCAATCAATAGGAGGCAATTATATGTTTGCACAATGTTTCAAAAAGTAATTATTATTATTTATTTATTTATTTTAATTAAAGATGCACAATCCTTGACAGAAAAGTAGTTCTCTCAAATTGTCTTTACTAAAAATATGAAAGAAAATAAAATAAAAAATATGTTTTTAGTTGTACTCCGTTAAGAGTAAGTTACTGATTGAGTTACAGCCACCAAGTTATTGTGACCTAGTGATTAGTTGTTTATATATTGGTTGTTGTATGCATAAAAATAGTTGTTTATCCTTAAATGCATGGTTAAATTTTTATTCCCCATTTAGTTAAATCACCATGCGTTAAATATCGGTTTGTAATATAGAAATAAAAAACAATCTTTAATTAAAAATTCTATTCTTTCCAAACACTTATTCAAATTTGTATGTATTTTCAAGTAAGCTTGAAACACCTTTTTTTAATCTGCATTCTAAAGATTTTTTTATAATATTTTGATATAAAATTTTAGCATTTGGCAAAATTTATTTTATTACTTCTTTTTTTTAAATCATTTTTGTGCTTTGTTCGCTAATTTAGATAAATAAAACTCTCATAAGTTATAAATTAATCTTATGAATTATTTTAATGACACGATATCTGGTCCCTCCATACTTAATTCTTTTTCATATTATGACTTTAAAGCATTATTTAATTATATCTGCTATAAATATCTTAATTTTAATAATCGAAGTTATAAATATATCTCGCTTCTATTTAAGAAAAAATAGAAGTTCAAAGTTTAGTTTTTTACATACTTGTTTTAATTGAATTGCAGTGTTGATTATGTGAATGATACATTATTTTTTTTCTTTTACATTTAAAACAAATGAACGTTTTGTGGTAGTTAACATTTCTAACGAAACAATTTGTTAAATTAAAATTTATGCATAATTATAGGGAAAGAAAAAAAGAATTCAAGAATAATAGTCACTGACTTGGTATTTTTGCACAGCATGAATATTAAAAATTGATCATCTTTCTGATGTTATAAAAATGATTCTAGACTAATTTATAACAGCTTGAATATTAACCTTTTCCTACTTATTTTGCAAAAACTCATAAATACAGGGTATCTGTGCACCTGGAAAGTCATGAATTTCGGTATTGAACAAAATTTGCCATGAAAAAAAATCATGGATTTAGGTTGCCGAAATATCTAATTTTTAAAATGAAAATTACCCCCACAATGTTCCGAATACCTGAATTTGTAACAAAATCAAAACTCACAGTCATATTTTATTAAAATCATGCTCTTTAAAAATTATGGTGTTCTTTCAAAAAATGAACGAAAAAAACATCATTTCTAGGGCGAATTATCTTTTAAATTTCTTTGGTTTCAACATTTTTGTTAATATTATTTTTTTTAATTATAAAAATTTCGAATTCCAGCTAAAGCAAGCCAGTCATTGTCGATTTTTTTTTAATTTCGACACGAGAGCAGAAAAATCATGAGTATTTTTTTCTTTTCCCATGAAATATCTTTAGAATATACTTCTGAAGAAAAAAATTTATTTGCTGTTGTATTTTTTTCAGCTATTTTATTGCTTCAACTCTTTCTTTACTCTGTTTTTTAAATTTAAAATCTATAAGTATGAAGATGCAGAGTATAACAGTTTTGGTTATATGTATCATTTCAATGAATGTTATTATAACTTTTTTTTTTTTTTTAAATTTGTTGTTGTGTTTTAGTCGGAGAAAATTGTAACTTCATTAAGTCATGAAAAATTCTTGGAATTAGTCATGGAAAATCATGAAAAGTCATGAATTTGAAAATCTAAAATGTAGCAGATACCCTGTAAATAAAATAAATATAACTTGTTAGTCTATTTGTTTATTTTCTCTTACCTATATCAACATCCAGTTTTCTAGGCAATACAGTCAAAATGATCCTTTGACAATTGAAAAACTTTGCAGAACAATAGGCTGGCCATTTTCATCACCCCAAAATATTTCTGATTTAGTGCATCAAGAAGCTGTCTTTGATGTTCTGGATTTATATCTTTGGCTGAGGTGAGTGACAATTGTTATAAATAACAGAGACATGTTAATAATATATAATTTTGTGTAGGGATGGTTATTTGCAGCAAAAGTATGGTTAATTTGGTCAAGAGACTGCAACACCCTTGTTCTTTATTGTTTTCTTAAAAATGCTAATGTTTATTTTTCATCTCCACTGGTTCTTACATAATTTCAAAAGAAATTGAGGAGGTTTGATATTCGAAATAACATGATAAAAAATATTTAATTCATTCGTTCAAAAAAAAACTTATTTAGTAATAAAAATGGTTTTTGTTTGCGAAAAAAGAGCAATGACACTTTTACCATAAAAAAAAAACACTTAGGCAAAAGTAGTATACTGTCTTGTTTATGTAAAAAATATTAATTATCTTTAAGCCTATTTCAATAAATGTGTAAAATTGTTATGCATAGTATGATTGCTAAGACTTGTCATTCATTTCTGTTACTTTGGTGTTCAATTATTTATTAATTTTTTATTATCCAACTTCTATGATACCTAAACTTTATTTTAAAAAAAAATTGACATATATTTGTTATGCATAATTTTTCGTTACTATTAGTTTGCTTTAGACTGCATGTTCTATCTGTTAATAAAATATCCTAATCCCATAAGACAACGATTATATTTTTTAATATTACTAAACAGAGGAATATTTGCACTCATTTTTATTTTTTTTTTATCAATTTGAAAACTTAAAGTAAAATGAAATGTGTAGATTTATAACTGGACAATAATTGGGTAGTAGCAGTTTTGATAACTTTTATGTAAAATAAAAATTCTTAAAAGCAAATATCTAAAAAAAAAAATTTTTTTTTAATTTATAAGTTTATCTTTAATAACATCTTTATAGCATATATCAAACGACATAAAAAAAATTCAATTTTGAAAATGGGCTTTATTGCATAACTCATTTATAATTAAGACAATTTTTACAAATTATATTTTTACATTTTTTAACATAAATTCAGATTAATTATTATGTTTGATTTGCCAGAAAGGTTTTCTAGTTAAATATTTATCAGACGAAACTTCTTACATATATTTGTCTTTCTCATTCTCAACAATGATAATATTTGCTATAATTTGTAAAGATTATAGCAAATATTAAAAGCAAATGAAATTACACAATTTATTTAGGTACATTTGAAATGGCAGTTAAAGATCTTTATGGTTATTAAAGATCATAAATTGCAGCATATGTAAATGCCAAATAACACGTATCTTTGTTGTGTGATATACTTTTTGTTATAAACATATACCATATTGAATACTGTCTAAGTTTGACTTTTAATTTTAGTTATCGTTTCCCGGATCTGTTTCCTGATGGTTCACCCGTTCGAGATATTCAAAAAGAACTTGATGAGCTTATACAACAAGGTGTATTCAATATCACTCATTTGTTGCAAGCCAGCAGTCGCAATGATGCAGGTGAAGACAGTGAATCTCATTACCCATATAGGAGAAATGGTATGAAATATTTCTAATATCAGTTTTTACAATTGTTTGCCTAATTTATAAATGTATTTTTTTTTTTAAATTTAAATTTCAAAAAGCTAAATGATAATTTTTGTCATGGAAGAGGAAGACCCGAAATCATCCCGAGTGATATTTTATTGACAATCCCTTATAATAGTAGATAAATTTTGTAACTATTTTTAACTGTACTTCAAGTTTGTTAAAAATGATGTGGTTAATCACACTTTTCGATTAAAGCAGAGTTGAGATGAAACCTTAAAAAATTTAATCTGCAACATTTATACATTTTGTTTTTTTAAGGTGCAAGCATTTTGTTTCATAAACCTTTTTCTAAGATTAAGACATAAGTTTAAAAAATTTAATTTTTAAGTGTAATAGTTTTTATGTCTCATACTCCAACTATAGGATTATTATTGAATTTAAACATTTAAAACAAATTTTAAAAGCAACTACACTACTATAAATCAGATTTAGTTTATATGTTTAATATGCTTGCCCTCAAAGTCTGTAATATAAGGCAGACAAATCAAAAAATTCTGTACGACTGGCTGAAGTGTCAAAACATCTATACATTTTGTGACAGTTTTAAATTCAGTAATGATTTTGCAATTATCTGTGTAAATATCGCGATTAAATTAATACAAAAATGGGTCACATTGCTTGAGATTAGAACAGGTTAGCCTTATTTGCTCAAGAAAAAAAAAACTAAACAAATTTAATTTAAATCTCAGCATAAATTTTTACATAAAGCTCAATAATAAAACTCTCTGAAAATACACAATTTATATTTCATATATAAGTTGATAAATCATGTTTTTATTTGAAGTAATTCATACAAACTTGTTAAGAATGTGCAAGATTTGTAAACTGGTTTAATCTGAATTCCTTTTTTTTTTCCCTCACAAGTTTTTTAAGTTGCAAAAAGATTTGCCGTTGAATTATTACTGTTCTATACAACTTGAGTATGCTGTATGCAACTAATTTGGAGAAAAAAAAATGATAAAATTGATAGTCTTTTTTATACCAATCAAACCAAGATTTTTCTTTCTTGCTTTATTCTTGGCATATATTCGAAGTTTTAAAATTAAAAAAGAAAAACTATTATGCTGAAATAATTAATTTTTTTTTCTCTCCATTTATGATCAGTCATTAGAACTACAAGTAACGAAACTACTGTAATCACTACTATATAATGTGTTACTTTTTGAAAAAAGCAGTGTAGTTAGTAGAAAACCTAGCAAAAACACACCTGGCCACTACTTTTAACATGTTTAGTAAAAATAAGGCTCAAAATGTAAATAATTTCTGATTGGTGCTGATTTACAATTCTATCAGTAGATAAAATAAAATGCATTTTACTTTGCTATATTTTTTTTTTATATATATTTATTCATTTAACTTGAGCATTGAATATTTAAAACTTTTCTAGTATTTCTTGAATTAAATATTAGCTGTCAAGAAAGGCGTAAAGAGTAAAAAAAGGGTTTAATCAATGTTTATATTTTCTCAACTTTTAGTTTTTTTTTTTGTTTTGTTTTTTTTTAAATATTAAACAAGAGTGTAAATTCATAATTAGAGATTACATTTCAAAAGTAACTTGTAATGACAACATATAAAAAAAAAATGGTTGTAGTTAACTACAAAAAAATAGAGTTTTCCTGGCCACTGTTTATGATATAGTGTGTAAGTTTTTTCAATAAATTTAGACAATATGTTTTTCTTTTGTAGCATCATCAGAGTCTAATGCCTTAGACACAACTGAATTTGAATCAGGATTTAGAGAAAAATCTTTAGGAAAAGGCCGTTTGACAAAAGAACTTCTAGACAAAGGGCTCATTACTCCAGAGATGCTACAAACTCTGCAAGAGGAATGGATTGAGGAAACACAAAGCTCGCCTTTTAGTTCGCCAACAAATCGTCGTAAATTTTCAAAAGTACACACTAGACGTTCGAAGAAAAAAGACTTTTAGCAATTTAGTAGTTACTTAATATTTAATGTACGGAATATATAGAGTTTTATTTTTAAAATAAATAATTTAATGAAAGAGCTAGTCAGTGTTCTTAAATAGGGTGTTTCTAAATAATGTTTACTATAAATGATATTAAACATTTAAAAAAAAAAATTCTAATATATTTTGCACCAAAGTAACTTGAAATAGAAGTTGTAATTACTCATTTATAACTGTGTAAAAATAAAATATTTTTTTTTTGGGAATCTGTATCATATTGATACATATATGATTCAAGCTCAAGATTAATTTCTCATTAGCTGACCTTAATTATTCCACTTTGCTCAATTTACCTTTAAAGCCAATTAATTAATGTTATTGCTCCTCAGTAATGTGAATTTTGTTGTTGTTCCTCTTGTAAAAATGTCATAAATGATATTTTTACATAATCATCCATCATATGTGTACTTACTTCATTTATGATTCTAACTTGAGAATAATTTCTCATTATTAGCAATCTTTGAAAAATCCTCCACTTAGCTTAATTTACATTTAAACCCAGCTAATTAACATTATTGCTCAATAAATTATATTTTTAGGGGTCTATCCAGACATTTTGTGAAAGGTCCGTTTTCGTAAAATTGTGAGAAAATTGCTCGTAATTTGTGAATATAAAATAAACGTTAAGTCACATTCTTTCAACCAGGGTCCTGCTTTTATGAATTTTTGCAAATTGGGTCCTGTTATTGCAAAAAACTTTTTCAAGGAATTTTTAAATTGTAAATAGATACAAGATTATGCTCAACACTGAAAAATTAAATTTTAAAAAATAAACTGCAATTGCTGCAACTAAATTAGAGATGCAACATACATATAATTGGTATTTAGCCTATACTGCTGAATGCAGAATATTAATTTCGGAGGAATAAAGGAAGAAGCGTCTGCGGAAGATAAAACTTAGTTCGTTTGCATTTGTCTTTCTCCCCCCCCCTTCCTCAGAAGGGTTTATTCAATTAACAAAACAATAATGAAGATAAACAAATTTGTGAAGGGTCCGATTAAAAGATAAAAACGGACCCTTCACAAAATAATTTAAGTTAAAATATTTTGTGAAGATTCCGTTTTTATGAAAAGATATTTTGTGAAGGATCCGTTAATGGACCCAAATTTCTTCTAAACAGACCCCTGATTTTTACAGGGTGCTTCCTCATCATATATAATTAAAACCTAAGATTAATTTTTCATAAGTTGTCTTTAAAATAATACTAAATTTAGTTAGATTTAGAACCAGCTAATTAATGTTATATTGTACCTCAGCAAGTTGGGATGCAGAAAAAGAGGTTTTGTTCCTTCTCTATCAACAGGGGTCATACAGTTTATGATATGTTTAAATTTACTTCAGTAACTCATGCAAAACAATAATCTGAAGAAATACAATATTTGACACAAATGAACTTCAATATTTTAGTTGTAATTAATGAAAGTTTTTTTTTTTTTTAAATAATAGGTATAGTAATATTCACTTTCAATGCTTGCATAACTGAAGAAGGTAACTCATATTTGAAGTTTACTAATTGCACAATCAATTGAATGTCACTCAAACTTATAATTTTTTTTAATATCCTATGCTCAGCTTGGGTCAATCAGCTATGCGCTGTGAAATAAAAAGATGGGAAAAACCAGAAGAAGTATCCCCATTGTCAGTACCTTTCAATTTGGAGCACACAAAGAGGTATTATCCAATTAAAAAACTTAACACAAGTGAAAAAAAATCCTGAATTTGGAGGCAAGAATTTTGAAGTTACCACTAAAAAGTTTTCTCAATGTTTCTAACAATAAAGAAAGATATTTTGAAAAAGTTTGTTACATAAAATGAAACTTTATCTAGAATACAATAAAAAAATTCAATGTATAAACAACTTACCAAACTTATTCCAACTAAGCAATAAATTACTTGGATAGCAAAAATGTTTCAGTAACAGTGAAACAAAATTTTAAGACAAAATATGTCCTTAAATTGAAATATAATGGTTAAATATATTTTCATAAACAGAAAGTGCAATGAAATAAAGGATATGACTATAAACTGTATACAAAAAGTAAGAGATAAATTTGGTGTGCTTCTATAGTATAAAAACAAACTTTAAAATTTGTGGAAGAAAAATTCTTTAATTTCGTATATTACTAGACATAATTAAAAATTACTTTGGTCAAAACAGTATTATGTATTGATTAATTGTGATCGTACTTTTATTAAGATGGAAAATTGATATCAAATTTAAAATTTATTTCATATTCTTTTGTTTTTCTCACAACTGATGAAATGAGATATATCTAGAAACAAACAATTTTACAATTACTTTCTCCCTTGCCTATTTTATAAACCAAATATATTTCATAAAATTCTTTTTAAGTTCATTCACATAAATTTCATTTACGTAACTGTTTAGTTTCTGGCTTCATAAAGTGGTATTACTGGTTTCAAACAAAATTACTGTCCATAAAACAGTGTTTTAAGATCAGTGTTTAATACTGTATTCTTCAATTTGACCCTAAAGACAAGGGAACTCTTGGAGGTATAACCAACTCACCTTTTCAAAAAACTTTTTAGTGAAACTAATCCATATTTATATTAGATTACTGTGTTAGAACTGAACAAAATATTTCATTTAAAAAACCTCATTAACATAGCTGTGAACACAGAATTAAAAACATCCAATAGATTCTATGGTACAATATAAACTACAGAATAAATAAAATGCTCCTATACAGGATATTTTCAGTCTTTTTTTTTTTAATTGATTAGGTAAAATAAGATAAAAAGTATATTAACAGAAATAACTAAAAACCATTAAAAAATTTAATGTTCTTAATTTTTGAATTTAGGAGTTTAATAAAGATTTTTGAGTTAATTTAAAAAGAATTTATGAATTAAAATTAGGTACTAAAACTTAATTACAAAAAAGAATTAGCATTTATTTCTATTTATTTTTAATACACTTTCTTTTATGCTCATTTCATTATTTAGTAGATAATTAAATTAAAATTCTAACAAAAAATTCAAATTTGATTGTTTTTTTAGAAAATGTACCATTCTAAGGAAATATTTTAAAATTTAAATTATCATTTATTTAAACAAATAGTTTCTATATGAATAACAGAATTTATTGGTAAAATCAGGAGGAACTTTTAAAAACCAATAGTCTACTCGAAAATTCTGTAACGTCGCAAAGATGCATTATTAAACCGTAAAACTTCGATTCAATCAGTACTGTTGTATTTCGGTCAATATTCTGTAAAATATACCCATTTCCATATCTAAGTATACCATAACTAATCTACTAAATTGTCCAAAAAAAAATAATAATAATAATAAAGTAAAAAATGAAACTTGAAGATAGCAAAAAAACACTAAATGACTATAATTTTGAACTTTATTGCATAAATTAGAATAAAGAAATCATATAAGGTTGTCAATTTTACAAATGGTTGACTATACATCACATAAAATGAAAATTACAGCCAACAGTTTTAAATGTGTTAAAAAAAAGCACTTATTCACATACTACATTCCTACCTTAAAGTTCATCAATTGTTTATAACATACATATAATTCATTAATCCCTTCAACTATATGAACATTATGTGGCAGTTATATATGGGTAGGGACGATACATCTGCTCATTCACAAATGTATAAACTCCAGCAAATACATGAAATAAAAATGACTCATTTGCTAAAGGTTAATAAAGGAATCAATCATAAAGCAGATTACACACAAAAAATAAGGTACCATTATTTGTTTGTATTTTTTATGAAGAAATAAAAAGAAAACAAAAGCAGAACATGTAAGAGTCCAATAGTTAAAAGAAACACAACATGAAATGGGTGAGTTCACTTTGCTGAAGGTTCTATACAGCTAAAGTGACAGCGCTGCATAGATATTTTTTTTTTCCTTGCCGAAGTTTACTTTCTTATTTTATACATTCGAGATCAGATTAACTGGAGGTAAGCACATAAAGAACCTTGAAAATACAATCCAGCCAAAACTCAACACCAACATTTTTTTTATTTAAAAGAATGATTAAATGATCTTTTTTTTTAATATTTTCTTGTTTATTAAATCTCTCACGCACATGCACAAATGATGATGAAATTATGATGATCATATAGATCAATGGTGAAGTTGGGATTGAAGCGAGTATGATCACACACATACACACATAAAAGAAAAGACAATGCTTACATCTCGCTTTAATTTTTTTTTTACATGCAGTGATGATGAATTAACTGGGGGAAATGATGAAAAAATAAGCAGTTCACAACGCAGAAAAGAACTTCCATTATGGTGGGATGGGTTAATATCCTTGTAAAGGTAAGTTCCCTGCATTCTGAAACACTTTTCTTTCTTCGCCCTACTATGTAATCCAGCAGACAAGAATTTCACAGCAAGGTTATCATGATTTTCTAGCTTGACCATCCCCTTTCCCCCAAATGTAAATGACAATTTATCGCAAGATGCTATTTCCAGTGTAGTGGCTATCAAGGTTGTTCCTATTTCCCAGCGCTTCGTCTGGGAAGGCCACCTAGTTAGCGACCAGCTAAAAAAGATATAAAAAAAAGTGTAAATGTTGAGAGATGTGTGCATCTTAAGATAAAGAACAGTATTTCATGCAATCATTTAAAAATATTTTGATTACACAAATGAAAGTAAAACTGTTGGGAGGTTTCATACTTACCATTACTATATTTATTTCAACTTTGATAAGACCCAAATGTCAATAAATAAATGCAGGGAATTTCCCAGAAAAATCCCAGTATAGTGTTAACATGGATTTCTAATATTATCACGGTCATATTACCTCACCTTCTTAATCAAACCCAGTCCCAATCCAATCTATTACTAGATGTTTTAATTTAAGAAGTGAAAATAAATGTTAAAGATTTCATATTCAAATTTTTTATGTCATAAATATTTCATTATTATATAGATTAGTAAACAAAATAAAACATTATCATATAAGTTTCACTTAGGAATTCCTAGAAAACACTCCAAATTGATCTGTGTTGAATGTGCTTACTTAAGATCCATAATTTGGGAACAAAATTGCCAGCTAAATAGGTTTTTGTGTTTCAAAAAGGCAGAAGAGGGTTCATGCAGTAATTTAGATCCTTAAATTTGGAGCAAACATGATTTCTTAGACCTCTTTAATTGAATTAAAAGATTTTTGATAGCACGCTTCATAAAATATTAAGTGTTGATGACAGATAATGCATTGATTTTATTTCACTTAGTCAACTAGCAAGAAGGCTTTCATAAATTTTCTAATGTTCCAATAATCCAGCAAATTCATTCTATCACCTACAGACATGCAAGAGACCTGCCACATTCTAATGTCATTGCCCATTAGCCAAGTTTTCTGTAGAGAGATTATTCTCAGCAATACTTTCAAGATTTAAAATCAAATAGGAAGGAGAATTTATTAGATTTGATTCTTTTTCTAAGAATGAACAAATAATTCAACTGCGAATCAAACTAAATTTGTATATTCTTAGTGAGATAATTATTATGCTGTTTCAAAATTTGAAGCTCAAATAAATATATAGTAAAATTGCCAGAATTTAGTTCACTATCTGGAGCCGGAGCATAAAAACTTTTTCGGCTCTGGGCCCCTCAATCATCTGATTATATTTTATCCCCTAAATCATCTTATTATACTAATAAGATAAGGAAATCAGATTTCCTGATAAACCAATTTTTGTAAAGGAACCATCAAATGTTTGTTTTACTTACATAATATCTGAATTACTATGGTTTGTGTAAACAATTGTTCGTCTCGGAACATATCATTAATAACCAAGCAAGTTTTAAATATTGAGGATGTGAAGGCTTTTATGGTTAAAAATTAGAGATCGCTGTCTTTTTCTGTGTGAAGAAATTAGATTGCTTTTTTCAGCTTGTCTATCTACCTACTTTATCGAAAGACATTGCAGAGTTCCTGAGTTGAATAAGGCTAAAAGAACACTTGTTTTGTTTTAAAATAGCATGTATGTAATTTAAATTTGAGAACAGGAACCACTTTCCAAACAGGAATAAGTAGTCTTGTGCATGGCATGTCCAATGTCAAACCATTATCAAACTATTTGTAGTAGGGTTTAACAGTATTAAACCATTTGTAGTATGGTTTAACGATAGAAGATGGCTTGAACCACTTGGATTTTCTCCTGCCTGGACTAATAAATACATTTTTCTGAATGTTTTCAAATTATTAGCTGGCACTTACATAATTTCCCTCTACAGTCAACTGTTAAATAGTGGTAAGTTAAGTTTATTGGATTACACAACACAATTAATATATATTTATCTTCAGTACTTGATAATAAGGCTTATATATTTAATCAAAATTTTAATACAACTTTTTAATGAATTAATAATTTTGTTAATCATTGCCATCAATTAAAAAATGATAATGGAATTAATAGTACCACTTATCATTCCATGTTAAATTCATTTAATAAATAATTTATTCAATAAACTAAAGACCTGGGGATTGGTTTTTTTAAGATTTTATTTTTAAAAAAGGTGAAATTTAATGAAAGTTATGAAAAAAACTGCAGCTGAAACTTTAGTTAAAAAATTTAAAAAGATAAAACTACAATTACAGTTTGAATTTCAGAAAGAAAAAAATAATAATAACTACCGCTGGTATGAAAGCTTTAGTAAAATAGGGACAAACTTACTAATCTTAAATACATACATCACTTTGTAAATACACAAAAAATACTAATCTCAAATAACAACTTATAATCTAAAGATCCTGACAAATCCAAAAATCCTGTTATATTACATTAAAACATATTTATTTATTTAAAAATTTATAAAATCTTTCTTTAACAAATAGGCAGGCCAAACAAGGCCAACTTTATTTTGATGTTATAAAAAATGCTAACATAAAACAATGAGATTAGTTTTAGAATTAAAAATACTACACATGACTTTAAAATATTAAAACTAATAATCCAGACATATTTTTTTCTTCATTTTATTCACATCAAAGGAGACATTTTAAAGAAGCTCATGAAACAGAATATACAAGGCTTCTAGGTATATACATTTTATGTGCAAAATGCATTCAACAGATTTTGAAATTATGGTGCATAAAATAAAGCAACACTTCTTCTTTCCTTTTTTATTTAACTGCCAGTTTACCAATTTTATCCATTAACTCTTGATTAAAATCATCTAAAATAAATTGGGGAAAAACCATTTGCATAATTTAGTAAAGGAAGTAAGTAGGAGGAAAAAGTGCAATTTTTATTTCAAAAATAATTAGCAAGTTGCCAAATAAACTTATTTGTTTTGATTTGCAAAACAAAATTTGTCTGCTAATTCTAAATATATAATTTAATTGTAAAAACATTAGATCAATAAATCTTTTTATTGCAACAAGATTATATAAACTTTAATAAAAAAATTTAAGTGGCATTTTTAAAATGTATTTGATTGTTATAAAAATTAGATTATTTTCCTGCAAATTAAATTGTTATAAATTAGTGCAATATCTCAACAAGTTGAGAGCAGTAAGGTGACATTATTTCAATACTTGAGCCTAAAAAAACTTTTTTGTTTTTATCAACTTAAAAAAATTTTAATTTATAATTAGAAATCAAATTAGAAAAAAAAATTTTTTTTTTCATTATAAATGCAGAAGGGAAAAAATTGAAGGCAGAATTTTAATATTTCAGTGAAAAATTACATTATTTTGTTTCCAGAGGATAAAGAATGCCATTATAACACTGCTCATTTACATTTAAAGGCAATTTGAAATATATGCCTTCAAAAACAATTTTAAAATAATAATGAAGGATAATACAAAAACAAAATTATGGACTTTCAATCTGATATTTAACAAATAATAATAAAAAGGAAGACAGCTAGGATTGTTATTTGTTATTACTTTCATTATTTTAAATGTGCAATAAATAAGTTTCATTGTTATATTAAAAATTTTATATTAAATGCTATTAATATATAATTATACAAATGCAGTATGCTAGAATTCAACCAAGTTTAATATATATGCATTAATTGATTCTATTAATAATCTATTTTGATTTAACCCTTTATCAGGGGTGATTGTTGCACTAAGTAAAAAACCCTGAAAATTTCGAATGCAAAAACTCAATAACAAGATATAATTTATGTACTATTCATATTTTATATAATTTTTTGAACAAAGATTTATAATTAAATTACCCACCAATGATGAATAACACACTTTCATTGCAACTAATTTTTAAAAAACTTTGTTTTTACAAGAACAGGGGTAGCAGCAAAGCTTTTTAAAATTTTAGGGTAATTTTAGGAACTTTCTTCAAAAAATTTTAGGTAAATTTTAGGGGTAATATATGATTTTGCTAGGATAGAAACAGATCACACGGTAGTTTATTACATAACGGAAAATTATTACAATTCATCCACACATATCATAAATAATTTCAAGCCATAAAATAAAGCTCTGAAATTTGTTAAGTCAAGAATGAAATCTCTAAAGTGTAAAAATGAAATTTCAACTTTACATATTACCTATCAGAAATTAAGTGCATAATTCAGGAACAGGCAAAAGTGAGAATAAATCAAGAGAAAAAATTAATTAACACCAACTTGGATTTTTATTTAATTTTTACCTTCTTAATCAAAACTTTTTTATTACCCTTTACCTTACTTTATTAAGAAAAACTATTGTGTGATAATATTAGATTTCAAATCAGCAATTTATATTAGAAGTTAGAGAAAAACAAATTAATCATGATCATTTTTCTAACATATTCTTGATATGATTTGTGAGATTCTTTTACTGCCCTCAATAGTGTTGTGGTGATCTTCAACACTCCTCCATAATTTCGAATGGTATCTTTGATTAGTCTAAGCGACATAATAGTATACTCATGGTGACTTACATTAAGCATTGCTTTATTTATCGAAAAACCTCTCTCAGGATCAGAATTCCCATGTGGCAAAATTAAAACAGTTTTAATTAACGTAGTTAAATTCTTATATTTTAGATTATTGCTTTTTTATTTATATTTAGCCATTAACTCTAATTTTTTAGGATCACCAACAAAATTTTATCAGATTTTTAGGAATTTTAGGGTTAGCACATACTTTTAGGAATTTTATGAATTTTAGGGGGAATGCGACCCCTGCAAGAATTGCAATACTGCATTTTAAAATAGCTTGAATATGAATCACAGTATTGAAGTTTAAGAACATTTAAATACAAATCGTGACATTGGATTTAAACTCTCGTAAATGCGAATAATGGTATTGATTTCACACACATATATGTAAATACAATTACAATATTGGATTTTTATATCATCTGAATCCGCGATGTACGATTTTTAAATTGCGTGAATATGATTTACCATAAGTAACTTAAGTCAGGTATATACAAAAATCGATTTTTGATATTATAATAGTGTAAATATGAATTGGGGTATTAACAAATTCTGGTCTAATTTAAAATATTAAAAATGGTTAAAAGCCGACCAAAACAAAACAAAATCTAATTGTCGGAAGAATCACGTGTGCGAAAACGCCTAGCTAAAGTGATTTAGCAAAAGTTTTGAAATTTAAATTTCAGATTTTTTAAATATTAAGATAGCAGTAAAAATTTCATCAAATTTTTTTGATTAGCGGAAGTCAGCAAAAAATTTAAATACCCTGCATTGGAGATCCTAAACCTGATGAAAAACCCGGAATTCCGGGGTACACCCAAAATACAGTCACTCCTGCTTTATGTACGAAAGACTTCCAAGTCCCACTAACATTATTTCCATATAGTATTGAAACGAAACAAAATATCCATCAAATGTAGTATTTCCATTTATCATTACAAGATGACAACATACAATTATTTGAAGTTCAACAATCACTGATGGAATTATTTAGTTCTGGATATTTCATTAGGACACCATTTTACAATTAATCTTTCTAATCTTGATTAATTTTACAAATTTTCCATATTTTTTATAGATTCATTAACAATTTCAACTAGTTATAAAACAAAGTATTAAATATATTTAACTTTAGTTAAATTTTTTATTAAGCTGTAAGTCTCAAATTAAACATTTTATAAAAGATCAGATAATATAAAATCTTGAAAAAATATTTGTCTAAGAGAAAAATAGAAGTAATTTAATAAGGCAAAAAAGTTTCACACATATTTGATAATTTTTCAATAACTAGTAAATAAAGGGTTAAACAGGAAAAAAAAATATTTATATACTAAAGAAGAGAGTCCATAATTTTTTATTATTTCTAATTAGAACTCAATTTAAATAAATGTGCAGCAGAAAAACTCAGTTTGCATAGATGAGCAGTCAGGGAAAAAATGTGACCTAAAATATTTTTTAAATTACTAAATATGCTATTTAAAAGTAGCATTTAAGTTAACTATTTAAGAAATAAAACCTTTTTATGACAATTACTACCAATCATCAATTTTGTTACAATTGTTATACTGATATTACTTATTTAAAGATAAACCTTGCATTATACCCTTGAATGCATTGAATTATATATAATAAAAGAAAGGAAAGGGAAAAGATAAGTATATATATTTAACAAAAATATAAATTACACACCCGTAGCAGTCACGACCTGGGAAGTAGCACCAGCAGCGGCTGCAGAAGCGGCTGCTTTTTGTTTAAGCATGGTCCAATCAAATGTGTAATCATATTGATGGTTGAGAGTTCTAAACAATATTCTGAATAGTTGCCGCAGATACATGTAGTCAGGTGCTTCTTCAAAGCGAAGACCTCGGCAGTAGTTAAGGTACATTGAAAATTCGGCAGGAAATCCCTGTAGTGAAAACAAAGTTACAATGAGTAATTCAAAAAATATATACTGACTTTAAATTGATAAAAACTTATGCCAATAAAATGATTCATGTTTAAATATATGCATACATATCAGTGAATAATAGCACAAAACCAAAAATTTAAGTAATATTCTATTTAAAAACATCATAATAGAGTTATGCATCAATCTTTATTATGCATCTCTTTATCAATCTATTCAGATGCATATTCATAATCACTCTTATTGATAAACAAAATGAAGAATTTTCAAAACAAGAATTATATTTGAATATTTAAGGCTTTTAATTAAGACTGATCAAACATCAGCATAACTAAGTAATTTGATATTCAAATTTGCTCTAGTTTTATCCTTTAGCTATTAATAATGAAAGAAAAAGAATCTTTTCAGTTTTATATGCATATATATTTAAAGTGTGATTACAATTTTACCTACATAAACCTGCTGAAGAACATATATATTTATTAAAAAAGAACATTGAAGAAAGTGTCTCAGAGGACCAGGGGTGCAGAAAATTCTCAGTGTCTAATATTTCCACAGAGTAGATTTTTTTTACTTCTGCCCAAATTATTAAGCGATTTTTTTAGTTATAACTTTTTTAAATTATTTTTAAATAATAAAGTTTGTGTACTGTTAAAAGTTCTCACCTTTAACAAAAAAAAAAGAATTTATTTGATATTACACAATTCTTAAACAGGGTGGTTACTCAAATCAGGTTTCAAATTTCCCTGATTTTTCCAGGTAAAAATCCTAAAATTCCCAGGTCAATGTACTTTTTTCCCTTCATAAAGTTTAGGATGGGTACAAGAAAAGTGTCAATATTATAAAGTATTTTATTTAAAATATTATTTTTTTTAATGTTATTTTATCATCTTTGACTCATGGGATAGAGTGCTAGCCAGGTCACCTTATGAGAATGATGTGACCTGGATAAGTTCTCTATTCTTTAAGAAACCATGGGAGTTTAACAGGGTTATAATGAACCAAATTTTGATGCAAGCGAAGTATTGCTAAGTTGATGTTATTCCAACTGTTTGGCAATAAATTTTCGTCTAAAAGTGGGTATAACAGTTGGTAAAATAATTTTCATTAAAAAATTAGTAAATTATTTAAATTAGTAAAATTAAGAAAATTCAAAGAAAAAATTCCAGCTTTTCTTTAAAAAATATCTATGATTTTTCCAGGTTTCTGTACAAATTTCCCTGATTTTTCCAGGTTTTTTCCAGTATAAAAAAATTCCCTGATAATTCCAGGTGTTAAAGATTTTCCAGGTGGGTGGCCACCCTGTTAAATAAACCACAGGTGCCAACTTTCCAAACTAACTATCAGTAATAAGAGTACAATAATGCCATGTTTTACTAAGAAACATCGTTGATACAAATGCAACTATGATCCAAAATACTGTTGATTTGCTAGCTCTCAACTTACAGTAAGATTAAAGAATAGCATAACAACAGCAAGTTTAAAGACATTTCCCCCTTTTAAACCAGTTTTGGCATCGTACAATGAAAAATGAACATTTATTCACTCACCTGCCTGCTAAGGGAGAGAAAAAAATTCAATCTCTAACTAAAGTCAAAAAAAGAAATATTCCCCAAAAAGAATAATTGACACTTTATTCCCATCCTTATCTGTATTTAAATGTCCAGTTTCCTTTCGTGTTAAGCAATAATCCCCTTAAAAAAGCATAAATTACTGCATTAAGTGACTTAATTTATAAGACCTAACATATGTTTCAAGCAAAGCAATATTTCATGTAAAGCTATTTTTTTGCGTCAAATGATATTTCACGTTAGCGAGGTTCGACTTAATTATTTAAAATGAATCTGAAGATGAAAAAAAGTTTTATAACAAATCCTTTTTGTGAGAAATGCAACATTACGTTTAAATTCATATTGATTTTTAAAAAATTATGTGCAATAAAGAACAGAGTATAAAACAAAAACAAAATATATTTAAAATACAGATGGACCCAACACAGATAAATCTTACAGTAACAAGTTGAAAATTACATATTACATCCCATAACAATTAGTAAATTCAAAATATGTTTCTGTGTTCAATTATGCAGACTTACTCACCTTACATAAGACCTCAACATTAGTAGACATTTTCTTTTCACTGATTTTTTCATATTTCTGCTTTTTATTTGCTGCTTTTAGACCTTGCCAGGGTAAGCTTCCACGATTAAAGTACATAAGGACATATCCTAGGGACTCCATATCATCTCGCCGACTATGAACAAAAAAATAGATGTTAGCTTAACTATAGATTTAGCATTAAAATAGAGAAAATTTAGTTGCTATTGATCATGCAGAAAATTTCCTTTGAGTATGACTAAAAGTATTTAAAATTAAATACTCCACAGAAACCAAACAAAGTTAACAATTAGCGAGAAAGAAACAATAAAGTGAATTAGAGACAGACAGCAATTTTCGATCAGGTGGCTAAAACAAGAGAAATATGTAAAATCTATTAAAGCAAAACAGAAGGTGGTTTGCAATGTTCAACTAATGAAACTAGAAAATTAATTTGCATCAAGTTTCAAAATTAATTACAAATATCATTTATAGAAGACACATCTGTTTAAAAAACTGCAAAACAATGTTTCCTGCTGCATACTTGTTGTCCATTCTAACTCAAATAATTACACAAGCATATCAGTTAATTTTGTCTCAGTCTATGCAAGATTACGGCTGCAAAAGTTATTTTGAAAACAGTGCTTCATAGTTTTTCAGCAGTAGAGCCAGCTGTTGTGTAATTTATAACTAATTTAGAAATTCAATTATAAAATAATTTTCTGGGCAACCCAGCAGAACTCAGCAAACTGATTTCCTTTTGTTTTTCACTATTTTTTTTTTCAAATTAGTTCATATGTAGACATCTGGTATAATTGATTTAGAGTAACTGCTCTGTGTAGTAAGGCTTTTAAAATAACTGGAAATTGTTTAAAAATTTCACTTGACAAGTGAAAAAAAAATGTTGGCATCAGAATTTCGTTTTTTCAATAATTACAATTTCGTTGTTGTTTGTAATGCCACTTGCCACACGGGCAAGCCTGCTTGGTGAAACCGAGCAAATTTAAGGCAGAATGTGCATTTGTTTTTCAGTGGCACCATCTATGGTCAAGAATTCGACTTCTGCCACACCAAATGTCGCACCTGTTCATAGGGCGGACCCATTCATTCACCCACAGATAGTAATTTTGACCTGAATCAGAGAATGATCAATCTCCAATCCAGTACCCGCAGAGGTTTGATTTGTTATGGGAACATGAAGGACTTTTGCAACTAGACATAATAATTACAATTTTACAATGATATATGAATTTTAACAACCAAGATTAGTGTGTTTAAGCCATTTTAAAAATCTAATCAATATCTAAAGTTAAGTAAAAAAACAAAAAAACATACATACATAACCAGTTATTTAAGTATTAAAAGCCCTAAAGAAATAAGTTAAGCTTTTACTTCGAACTAAATATTCAGAAGAAAAAAATTAAAAACACACTCACCTTCACATAGAGTTCAGATATATAAGTGACATAAATAACCATAGAGTATTTTTGGGAGTACAATTAACAAATGACAAATTAATCTCCTTAGATTCTACGAAGCATTCAATAAATAATATGACATTAATATTTAATACAAATCATTTCAAACATTGGTATAATTAAAATTAATTAACTATTAAATAACTAAAATTTTAACTTTTACAGCCTCACTTCAATGTGTGAAACAAAATATTTATATAGCACCTAGATCTTCCCCCCCCCCTTTTCTATTAAACTAAATTATTAACAGTATTTCCTTTAACAGTAAATGTTTCTTACTCTTACCACAACTATCCTTGAAAATTGTTGCTTTAGTAGTCTTCAATAAAAAATAGTAACTTAAATAGTCCCCACAGAGTAACTATTTTATTACTTTTTCCATCTTTTTGATTAATTTTTTAAAACTAAGCAACTGACGACTGCATCACTTGACACAATTGTACAATATGATAACTAATAACATAGCCAGATATTACAATACTTAGCTAACACAGGAACAGAAAACTGGTTTATCTGCAGAGCATGTGGTAAAATATTTGTATTCAAATGTTACACTAGGTAGGTTCTCAAAGACACGAAAGTCTAATACTAAATGAACTTACAGCAAAACTTCAAATTAATTCATCAAAACTTAAAGATGATGAAAATGTAACTTAAGATGAAAGACAACTTAATTTATGAAGATAAGTCTATAAACATAACGAAGGTTAATTTTAAGTTTAACTTAATTTTGTCAGCATTATTAATTTATTTGTTTATTTTTTAATGTTTGAATTAATTTCGCCTGCAAAGCCAAAATAAATCTGCAGCCCACAAGCAGTTTAATAACTAAAAAAGAATCAAAACTTATTTTATTAGATTATTAGAGCCTGATCTTTGCTTTATTTGAAGGGGGGGGAGGAATTAGCATTTTTGTAACACACCTGTCTCAAAAACAAAGCAAATAATTTTTCCGAATTTTTACAACTGTCATAAATTAATTGAAAATAAAGATTAATTTTTAGGAATCAAGATAAATAAATATAGAAAAATTGATTGGAAGCTGAAGGGAACAAGGTTGATTACAACAAGGAAGTTTTTCTACCTTCCCTAATTATCATATAATATGAGAAAACTGTCACTAAATCTTCATGAAGTAAAAAGATTTTTATAAATAGTTCCTATAAGATTCTTTTTTGTTCAAGAGCACAATAGTTGCTCAAGGTCAAAAGAGTCAAAAATAGTTAAACAACTAAAATTAGGCAACTAAAAGTCTCAAGACAGTACAATAAATCATAAAAAGACAGGTACAAAGTCAAAAATGATTGCCAAAATTAACCAGAATAAAATTAAATCCTTATTTAAAAAGTGGCATGATTCTCAAACTTGATGAAGCTAAGTGTAACAAAATTTTTGTAATTAAGATAACAGAATATTTTTTAAGTGGAATGAGAATTACTACTACTTTATTAATTGGCTAATATGACTTCTTTCCAGATCGTTTAAAATTGGTAAAAGAACGAAACCCGTGAAATTGCCTTAGAGTTAAAAATAAAAAGTAAGTAAGGATGCTTTTCACCCATGGTCAAAAAAGTTATGAATTTGAGTAACACTACTGTTTAAAATTCTTCTGTGAGCTACCAATCAAAAGAATCCTTTTTTTTTAAAAAAAAAATAATAATCTTACATTTGGTTTATCAGTGTATTGGAGGAATCAAAGTTAGCCAACTGGAGCATTAACTTGATCTACAAAAATATCCCCATGAGCTACTAATGATTAATGATTTGGCTATCACTGCTTTAGATCTTTTACAGAACTTAAAACCTTAAAAACTAGTACATACAAGTTATATTTTAACTTAAATAGATTGTCATAAAATCAAAAAACTTATTTTACTATATAGAGTAAAATAAGCACAAATCAACACTTTTCATACGAGCGTTAATTTATTAATACATGATTTTTAGAAAATATTTCGATTTTTATTTGCAATAAATAAAAAAAAAGACAACTTTCTAGGTTACTGGTTTTGTTATTACTTTTTCAGGTAAAAACAGGTATGAAATATGGATTTCTGAGAAGAAAAAAAAAACTAAATTTTAATGGTACTACTTAGTTTTGTGCCTAAATAAATAAGTATATACATCTGGATAGATAGATAAAATTAAGCTATTTACCTTTGCTCAATGCCCAGGTGAGCGTTAATGCTTGCATATCTAGCAGTTCCAGTTAAGTTTTTATCTTCGCGGTATGGAATGTGTTGGCGAGTTCTATTGTCTCTATATTTTTTAGCTAATCCAAAATCAATCAAGAAAAGCTAAAAGAAACAAAGAAAACAATGTAATTTGTAATCAAAATGTGACATTATTTCAGTTATTAATAACAAGCAGAAAAATTATACTACAAAAATAGACTCCAATTCCACAAAAAAAAAATTTTTTTTATCCTTTAAAAAGGAATTTAGCTCAGTTTTTCAATAAATCTCAAATGAGCAACAACTTAATGGTAATTGTTCACAACCACATTTCCAGGTCACCTAAGAACTTTATTAGATTATTAGACTTAAATCAGCCACACACACACACAAAAAAAAAAAGAAGAAAAAATACACCAGATCTAAGTATAACTACAAATATATAACAGGCAGCCCATACAATTCAGAAACATAAGAGTTTTGATGATTCCTTACAGCATTAATGAAAGTCTAGATCAGTGTTTCCCAACCTTTTATGTACCACGCCCCACCTAAGCCTTTCTAAAATTCTTATGCCCCCCTATGTAACATATACATAATTTTTAATATTAAAAAATCGAATTGTTCACTTAAGAAACTTAGGAAATTGTTAGCGAAACAAAGTAAGTAAATTTTCAGAACATATAATGAAAAACTAAAATTCAAATTCGAAATAATTTTAATAAAGATTTTTCTATAATAATTTAATATTTTAATTTAGTGAGATTCTTGCCCTTGATGCTTGCTGCACGTAGATTTTATCTTAGGTTCCAATTTGGTTAGCTTCAGTCTCAAGTCTCCCCGTTGTGTTATATCCAGACAGTTATTTTTTTTTTTTACCAATAAAATCATTTACAGCACTAAATCCACATTCAGCTAAATATGAAGATGGAATCGGTAACAATAGTTTTCTTGCACATTTGATTGAATTTGGGTATTTGTTTTCTGTTTCCTCACGAAGCCATGCCATCACTCCTTTCATATTAAATAAAGTTTTAACTGACTCATCATTTTGCATTTCTGCAAGTTCTTCTTGATATATTTGATATATCAGACAAATCCACTAACATGGACTGCAACATCCATGTTGGAAAATAAATTTGTTTTAAATCAGAATATCTTTCTTTTAAATCAGCCGATAGAATTTTCAGATGATAGACAATAACAAGTAAAGCGGTATCATTTACTTCACATTTTTGGAGCCAATGAAACTGTTCAAAGTTTTTGTTGTTAATATATTTCTGACATAACTCAATAAGGGTAATGAAGCCAAATATCTTCGCTTTTGCATCAACAAGAGTTTTATTTGTTCCTTGAAGTTTCTTATTTAATATATTCAGTTTTTCAAAGATATTGGCTAAATAACTCACAAATGCTTTACCATCGACTGTAAACAGATACTTCATTTCAGGTTTGTCGCTTAAAAAATCCCTAAGTCACATAATATTTATTGACCGCAATTATTTAAGAATTTGCTTTTTTCTTTCGATTTTGTCACCGAAATCTCGCATTGCATTTAAATGGCCCAGAGCAAAAGGTTTAAACTCATGTCGACACCATTTTTGAATTCCCCCCCCCCTGTTTAATCAAATTGCCCCCCGGTGGGGCGTGGGCCCCACGTTGGGAAACACTGGTCTAGATTAAGAATCCAAATGGTTTTAGCACACATTAGCATTACATAAAAGACAATTTGGGGAAATTATTAAATCAAAATTATATAGGTGTTTTGTGAGGTTGTTAGTAATAACCAATTTACACCAACAGATAGATATAGGTAAGATGTATACACATAAATGCAGAAAACATTAAAGTGAAACAAAATGCAGTTTGCGACAGTAGATTCAAGGAAGAATATTATATATACATTAAACTATCAATAACCTTAGATCATGTACATGTACATGAATTATATTTAAAAAAATTAAATTAAGTTTTCCAGTCACTTTTTCTATTCATTTTTTTTCTGTCGAAAATTGTTTAATGATAAAAGTGCATCAATGCAGAAAGACTCCAGAAAACAAAATTTTTATTAAAATGTCCAATGTCTCCATTCAAAATTTTGAACCTTCAGAATCCATCAACATGGCATGGAAATATTTTTCCTCCCCAGATATTTTTAAATAAAGTTCTTTGAAGCTTCAAAGTCAGCACGCCTAACTAAATTTTGTCACTTACTTATACTATTTTTCTGGTTGAATTAACTTTCATGCAACTTTTATTTAATGATTATTTCCAATTTCAGGGTTGCCACAGAAAAAAATGAACAAAATAGTTGCTTTTAGTAGCCTAAAGTATGAAAATAGTTGCCTAATAAGAACAAAAATTTTTCAATAATATTACTAAAATTTTATTAAATGACTTCATTGTAATATACCATGATCTATTTAGTCAAGTTGACGGCCAATATGATAATTTTTAATAAACGTTAGTGTTCTAGCACTAAATTTTTATATAAAAAAAATTTGTATATTTGCAGAACATTAAATACTTTTAAATGCTAGAATTAACACAGAAAAATAATTTTTTGTTAAAAAAAAACATACTCTTTCTATTAATTTTCACTTTCATATAATTTTTCCTTTTATCAATAATTGATTTAGCAAATATATATATTGAAAAAGTGATTACTAAAATTCGAAACTCACGCATCATAGTATCGTATTAAAAATTGGGTTCTTTAAAATCACGCAGAGTTTCGTAGCAATAACTGTTGAAAGGGCGATTGAGAAACAAAATAGATTCACTATGGAATCTGTGCAAATTGAGCACATAAAAAGTGATGACTCAAATTTGCAATTGAATACTTTTTAATTTTTTAGAAGAAAAAAAAATCATTATGTTCAGAAGCTACCATGGGCCACAAATTGTCAACATAATTTATGCTTAAAAAAACATTGCTAGGAGCACAGAAAAGTCTCCTACCCCTGAAAATAGTTGCTTTTATGGCCTTTTCAGGCAAAAAAAGTAGCCATAGTTGCCTCAGGTCGAAAATAGTTGCATTTTATCACCTGTGGCAATCCTGAATTTGAATTTTTTTCTTAAAGTATAATTTAATCCTAGCAAAAATGTTTGCAAAAAGAGGCTATTAAATGAAAAGGACTAATCAACATCGATCACCAAATCTTTAGGTTTGAGGAATAAGTTGGCAACTAAGTGAAAATTTAAATTTTCAGGTCTAAAATTAATCAACACAAATGAAAGACAAAACATAATTACTACAGTAGAATAAAACATTCTAAAAAAACTATTTATCAATGAAAAGAACAGAAATAATTTTTTAACTGGTAAAAGTTGTTTATTTTTGTAAGATCACATAACATTTGCAATTAAAAGACTTATTGCAGAACATTAGACAAAATCCTTCCTTCTGGGTTGATTAAGCCGTTTTACTCTTTTATTATTATAAGAATAAACTGCATTCGAAGAAAGAACATTTTTGTTAATTATGTTTAAATATTTTGATTAATCAGGAGAAAAGTTAAAAACATTCTGGTACTTAACATCCCAACACATTTTGATATATTACTTATTCTGTCCAGGTCCCAGGACGAAATTCGCGGCAAGTCCCTTTCTCAAAGCACAAGTCTTATTTTAATATTTTAGAGAACAGTTAAAGATTTTTTATTTGAAATTAATTTTTATATGAAGGAATTCTGAACAATTGGAAACAAACTAATTAAAAAAGCATTTAAGGAATTCTATTTGGGCCCTAGGACAATTATCCTTGTTACCCCACCCCCTCCTCGAGTACAGCCTTGGTCAGTTATTTTGGATAGGATCAATTATTTTGTTTACACCCTATAGCATGTCATATACCCCAAAATAAAAAAGCTTTTTTTTAAAAAAATATTAAATAATAAAAAAAATTTATTACCTTATTGCAATGACGTCCAATACCCATTAGAAAATTGTCAGGTTTGATGTCTCTATGAATGAAATTTTTATTGTGAACATATTCAATCCTACCAATCATCTGAAAAGAAAATGGCATAATAAATTTACATACATCCTAATAACCATTTTAATTATGAAAAAGTGATTATTCAAATAACAAACCTGATCTGCCAGCATCAAAACTGTTTTCATAGTAAATCTTCTTGAACAGAAATTAAACAAATCTTCCAAACTAGGCCCTAAAAGATCCATGACCAGTACATTGTAGTCCCTTTCTTGTCCAAACCATCTGAAAAATATTTAACAATTATTCCTCGAGTAACACCTAAATCATTTCTTTTCACAATATAAAAGGAAATAAAAAATTTTTGAACAAAATTATTATAAAATCATATAATCAATATAGTTTAGTGAATTGTGATAAGGAACCAAGAGCAGCTCTGCGATGTTAAGATGTTTATGGATACATAAAAAAAAATTTATTGTTGTGGCAGGATAGGAATTTTTAATAACCCAAATTAAAACTACAGGTGACAGCCATTTTTTGATTATTACTTTTTTCATTTATTTATTATTTTTATTTTATTTATTTTCCATTTTTACTTACTTTATTTATCACATTTTTTTCAATCAACAAAAGTAATTCTGCAATAACTTCATGGCACATTAAAAAAAATAACAGCCATGATTAAAATTTTAATTTTATTGTTGGTAAGTAGCAGTCCTAAAATTATAAATTTAAAGTAAACTTCATAAATTTATAAAATACTTTTTTTTTTTCAAAATAGGGACAAATTTGAATATAAAAGATAGTAACTTTTCAATCAGGCTAACCTACAACAAACTAATGCATAAATATCAAAATAATCTCTTTTCATAGATCGATACCTGAATTTTGAGCTAAAATCTATAATTAAAAAAAAAAATAAATAAATATACAGTGAAAAAGAAGTAATTATATTGTTCTATATTGATTTTTTAAAAGAAAATTTTAAATATTCTAACGTAGTTTGATAAAAAAATTTAAAAAAAATTGCACTTAAACCTTAGCTTTTAGTTTACAACATAGCTAACATTATAAAAAATCTACGTATAAAGTTTCAAAGAATTCTATAACAAATTACTTTTGTTATGTGAGCAAGTATTAAGAAATTTTTTAAAAATCAACATATTTTCAGAAAAAATGTACGAAAATTCTGACAATAAATTTGATTATCCAAAAATTTATTTTTGTAAATGAATTGGATTTGCCTTAAACATATATTTTATTCAAATAACAATGAGTAAAATACCCAAAGCATAACAAAAAACTTAGTTCCGTTCTCAAGAGTCTACTTCCGGTTTCAGTTTCGCATGTTAGCATACGATAAAACAATTCGCGATCGCAACGAACTATAGGGGGCGTTGTTGTATGAGACGCTTACCTGCGANTTTCAGTTTCGCATGTTAGCATACGATAAAACAATCATAACATCGTTTCTAAAAAATCAAAGAACAAAAATTTAAAGGGTTTCGGAAGGCTAATTAATTAAAAATTCGGATGCAGTTAATTTTAAAAAATCGAAACTTTCGTCGGAATTGCCGATATTAACCCAATCGAATACCTTAATTATATCATAGCTAAATATTAAAAATAAATTTAATATAAATAAAAAAATAGGGAATTTTGCAAAAGAGAAATTCAAAAAGGTAACATTTTTATCCCGCATTAAATGATTCAGCGCAATTGCAAACGATAAATTTCAACTAACTATGAAACAGCGATGTCAAATTCTGAGAAATCACGTGCGGCAATGATATCAAGGAAGAACGTGAGTTTTCGAAATGGAGCTAGTTTAAATCGAATACACTATTATCCAGAATCCGAACTATCGAAAAAATAAATAATAAAAAAAAACTATACAATAACAAGAAATCGAAACCATCTATCACCTTTCATGGATAGATGGTTTAGATAGTCCCAGGAATGCTGAAATTACAGCTATATATAGAACGTTTAGAAAGCATATTTAAGACATATCAAATTTTACAATCAATAAAATCGTCTAAAAATAGATCTCTGGAATGTATATTTACAGTATCTATGGAATGTGTATTGACAACCTACAAAAACAAATTCAGCAAAATTTTGAATTTCATATTGGATTTAAAGCTCATTGAATTTGAAATTGGCAGTCAATTTACAATATTTTGCGTAAGAAAGCACGTGCTGCACAAATTGCTAGGAAGAACGTGAGTTTTTAAGTTTGAGTTGGTTTATATCGAACAATATATTATAAATACAACAAGAAATCTGAATAATCTTTCGCCATTAATAAACAAACGGCTTAAATTGCTCCAGTAATGTTTCCTTGTAAAACAGCTGCGTATGACAGTGACGAGCAGGCTTAGAAAACAAATTTAGGACATATTAATTTTTTCAATCATCAAAATTATCTAAAAACCATCAATCCAAACAACTTGAGTTTTCCAGAAACCATTTTTGAAATCTTGAATGTCATTTAGTTTTATTTACAAAAAAACAAACATACTATAACAAAAGGAAAAACTAACGAGGGTTCAATATTAAAAAAGATTGGTGATAATTTTTATAACTTAAAGCAAAAGATAAGAACTGTAAAGTAGTAGTAAAAAAATCTTGGAACGTGTGATTCGTAAAGGCAATAAACTGCAACTTCTATTTAAGGTGATTGACTGTGGCTTTAATCACAGAAATCCAAAAAGCTACCAGTTTTACTTTTTAATACAATTTTTATTGTTTATATCAATTTACTTTCATGTCAGTAAAGACGAGATTTCGTTATCGAAATTTCAATCACAGTCCGACTGGCTTAAGCACTCTAATTTCGGCTATAGCTTCATGCCTGATAAGAAATGCAAGTTTCGATTGTTTTTGATAGCCGATAACAAAATTTGTCATTTTATAAGCTAATAGAATTTATCGTCTATCAATCACTGTTCGACTAACTAGTGCTCAAATCTTAGTTGGATCTCTGAACCCAGAGCGTTTAAAAAAAAACACGGGTTTTAGAAAAAGCCGAGCATACTTCGGCTTTCATCAAAAACCCGGGTTTTATCGCATTTTTGTGTAGGAAGAAAAAAAACAGGGTTTTTTTAAACAGGAAAAAAAACAGTGTATTTTAAATTTTTATTCATGAGCTCTTAATAAGATAGCAGGATTTGCTTCTAGTTCAATATCGAAACAGTGAAAATGCTTTTAGCCTTCATGACGATGTATTTTTATATTTTTTTCGATTAACGAAAAATCTTGTACAGTATTTATGCGTGAAACTAGGAGAGGACTTGGAAAAAGAAGCAAGGCAAGGAAACGTGATTACAGTAAAAACACAAGTTTAGTTTATTTTAAATTTTTGAAAGAAAAAAATAATTTAATTTAATTTTTCTCTGCTATATGCGAATAAATAGGTATTTTTGGGGTTGTAATAGTATATTTGATGAACTTAATGGGTAAAATTGCTGCTAAGGATTCGACTAAAATTCCAAATCCGACCACGCGGGTTTTCGGGCTGGGCCCATTTTGGTAAACCCTGTCTGTGCCTGGCGGCAATACAATCAAGTTTCAATCAAACCCTGAGTGACAGATGGAAGCAGAATTTATTTCTACTTCATCAATTAAACAACCTAGACTACTTTTCAATTGACTAAAGTAGTGCTCAAATCTCATTTGGAGCTATGTGCCTGAAAAAATTGCAAATTCCAAGCATTTTCCAAATGGTGCAAATTAAATTTGCAATGAAGTCAATTGAAATTTAATCCCTTTCTAAGCTAAAAAAAATTTTTAAAGACATTTTTAAAAAAATTTAACTACGCCCCCCCCCCCCAAGTTGACTTAAAAGGAAATATTAAGTTCATTATCAGGCATACCAGGAAAAAAGTAGTACTCAATACATTTGTAATAAACTATTACAAATGTGATAGAATGCAGAAGTGGTGATATTTTGACGAGAATAAACTTTAACAAATGTCACCACTTCTCGTCAAAATATCACCACTTCTTTTTAGTTTATTTGTAAAACGTAGTTTTTAAAATGTTTGTTTTATTTGTATGAAGAAAAAAAGTAATGCAGTAAAAAAACTCATACCCATTTAATTCTAATTATTTAATCAGGGTGGCCACTCAAATCAGATTTTAAATTTCCCTGATTTTTCCAGGTTTTCCAGATAAAAATCTTAAAATTTCCAGGTTTTTGCTTCTTTTTTTTTATAAAGTGTAGGATGTGTACAAGAAAAGTGTCTTTCTTATAAAATATTTTATTCAAAATGTTATTTTTTTTAACATATCATCTTGAAAAAAATATATTATGACAATTTGGCAAGATATTTTTATTTACTTTTCAAATGTTTTCATACAAAATTTTGAATCAAAAATCATATATTGACCAACAAAGGAGCCTTTTTTTAAAATTAAAATATGTTATAAGAGGTTAAAATGAAATAGAAAAAATTGCCATTAATGCAACAATTGTAACAATTTGTCGACAAACATTGCTGTTAGCGATTGTAAAAAAATGTGTGATTGGTTGGTTTGCTGAGAAAAAATAATTCACAGATTTCTTTGAATGGGAGTAGAAAAGCTTTCAGAAAAAGAGTGCAATATAAAATCTATTATTATTAAATTATAACCAACGATTTTTGGAGAATTTTATAAAGTTAAAAATACAAAAACATTTTGTCAAAATAGAAAAAAAAATTACCGCCAAAGTATCGGAACAAATTTGAGCCCATGGATTCAGCCCAAGGACAGAATTTAAAAACAGAAGCTAATATCCTAATCCCTTTTTCCATCTCCACCAGAATCTTTCCTAAATTGCACAGTCAAATAGCGGTCAAAGGTTTCTGCATTCGTTTAGCAACCGTGGGAGAATTTTATGTGGTATTCTAGTTTGACAGAGCTGTAATGGAGCAAATTTTGAAGCAAGCAAAGTATCGCTAAGTTGATGATATTTCAACTGTTTGGCGATACATTTCCATTTTAAAAAAAGTGGGTATAATGGAGGATGAAATAATTTAGCTTAAGAAAATTAGTAAATAATTTAAATTAGTGAAATTAAAAAAATTATCAAAGAAAAAATTTCCAGCTTTTCTTCAAAATTCCCTGATTTTCCAGGTTTTTATCCAAATTTCCCTGATATTTCCAGGTTTTTTCCAGTATAAAAAAAATTCCCTGATAATTCCAGGTTTTCAAGGTTTTCCAGGTGGGTAGCCACCCTGTTAATAATAAGCAAATTAAACATTCAATAAACATTTAAAAAAAAATTGGAAAAACTTTTACATTAAAAAAGTGTCTCTTACAGGAATTTTTTTTTTTTATTTTTTGAAAAAAAAAAAGGAAAAGGAAAGTCTGATTAAAGAATAAATAAAATAAAGTGAACAGAAAAGAGAAACAATTTTAGTGAGCTTTAAACTTACATTACCAGGTGGATAACACAATGAAAGAAACAAAAACTAATTACTTTTTATTCAAATTCGAATCGGAAGTAATGAAGCGTAAGATTTTGAGAGAGTGAATAAACCCTGTATTACTTCCTTACGGATATTAGAAAATAGATATCAGTGAGATGAAAATAAGTATTTCTGTGTGAAAATAAACTTGTTTTCCATTTTTGCAGATTCAAAGTAACAAGAAAGTCGTTCAAAGTTTGATTTTTAAAACCTAGCATTTGTTCTGTGACAGCGTGAAACATTTTTTTTTTTTATTATTATCTTTAATAAAGGATATTCTTAAAAAAAATAGTCTGATTCATTTATTTCATGTGATAAAAATCTTTCATCAAATTACAAAAAGGTGAACTTAAAAAAAAAATTATCCTGAAGATATTACGAGTACTAGGCAATGGGATTTTGGACAAATCGATCGAATTCAGCAAAACAAAAACATCAAAAATTCCACATCTATTTTTTTTTTAAATTTTATTTTGAAAGCTAAAATCTTTAGTGAATTATAAATAGGTTTTATCATTGAAACATTGTTAAACATATTTTTTTAGAGTCTAAATATTACTGTATAGGATAGAAAATTATTGTTATTGAAATAAATTCTAACTTTAAAAAACTATTTCCGATTCTTCATTAATTTAAAAATTTTCATTCAGCATCCAAAATTTACCTCAATTAGTACTTTAATGAAAACGCTAACTATTTGGATAGTTAAATCAGGATAAATTTAATTGACATTTAAAAAATAAAGAACCATTTTCAATTAACGAAATTAAAATGACAGCAAGTTTTAAAAATAAATTTTAAATTTTGAAAGGCATGAAAAAAGTATAGCATTAGTTTGAAAGTAAAGGTTTGAAAATATTATAGCATGCTAGACTGTTTTCTTAGAACTTATACGTCTTAAGTTTTTTAATCTGTTTTTCTTGTGTATGAAACAGATTAACTATAGCGGTAAAACAAAAACAGAATAAATTTTGCGATAAAACAAAAACAGAATGAATTTTGCTGTAAAACAAAAACAATCTTTATTTCATTTTTTAAAAAAAAAATTCCAAGATTAAATTTTTCCAGAACTATTCAAAATCGTTTGAGATACATAATTTTATTCACAAGAAGTTTTAACAGAAAACCATTATTAATTAGATTAACAGAATATAACATAACTGTGAAAAAATTGATCAAATAAATGACCAGATATAAAAAATCGGAAAGGATACAAAAAATTTAATAAAACTCAATAATATTTAATGGAATATAATTCAACTTATTTATTTTATTATTATAACAGGGTATAATAACGTGAACAAATGGGTCAAATAATTAAAGAGATAGAAATCTCGAATAGAATAATTTCGATTAAACAAAATACAAATATTGAACACATCTAATGCTAAAACACAATGAAACTATTTCCTCTAAATGTAAGTAATTATCTATTAGCACACCTTTTAATAAACAATCAAGGGGAAGTTTATTTATGGGCGAGGGAGAAATTCAAAACAACAAAAAAACGAGAGATGGGTGGAGAGAGGGGGAGAGAAAAGAGTACACCAGCTGCAAAAGAGAAAGACTGCGGTTTGCTCACAACGTAACCTTTTCAAGAGGAAGGTCGCTACCATCTGGCTGTAACCTTAACTTCAATTCTGTCGGGCTGACATCCCAATTGAATATTTCACTTCAACACTGATAAAATCGCTACGGAATCATATTTGTTCGAACAAAAAATATTTTATTTCAAACAAAAACACTTATACTTTTACCGTACGTTTCAATTAAAAAAATATATAATAAAGTCGAAAATAATGAATTTCTTCGCAGAAATTTTAAAAAAACATTAACTTCGAGAATGTTGTTCATTGTTATTAAAAACAGATTTGTAATACCATTTCAGAGTACATTAAAAAACAAAGGAAAAACGGAATGGAAAAACTGGTCTAAATTTACAAAACTCATGTGGTAATGAACTGAAAATAATGTGCTTTAACTTAATTTAAAAATACTGTCACGGGTTTGTCACAGAACTGCTATTGAAATACATTTCTATACTCAAAACTTATTTATATATACTAATATTGATTAAATGCAAGCTTTAAAGGCAAATAAGGAACATGAAGCAGTTACGCTAAGCAAAACTCAAGGTAACATGTAGGTAATACTCGTTTAAGTTAACAAAATCAAATATTATAGACAGTATTATATTTTTTCACCAGACATAAACAATGCCGTGTATAAAAATCAAAATAAAAGGAATGATAAAACAAATTTTTAAAAAAATGACATAAGGACACTTCGGAGTCATAGAATCCATATTTATTTACGGCAGGTTATCAGACGAATCAACCTAGGGATAACAACTTTCAGGTCATGAATAGGGGGTAAATAAGATAAAACTTTCATCTTTTCAAACATCTATTGGCATTTCATAGAGTAACTTCATAGCACTGAACAACCACCAAATAAACTATAACTGCATTTTTAACGCAGAAAAATACTAGTGATGAAAATTGGTGCAAAATACATAAGTTTATGAAATTCAAGTTTCAGCAATACTGTTCAATATTTAATACTGTATAATTATAGTTTTAGTACTGCATAATTTTACAAAAAGCATAGTTGAAAATATGAATAAATAGTTCACGGAATAATATAACTCCCATGCAGCCCAAATTGACAACAATATTTTCTATATGTGGTGGAAACGAAATGGACTTGAAATAAAATGTTTTAATTAAATTTATTTCGTAATTCATAATTGTGAATATAGATATTGAATTTATTATAGATAGTTATTAAAGTTAAAATTAAAACTTTAACAATAACTGAAAATAAAAGCTTCAATTTGATTACTAGAAATGTTGCCAATTTCATTATTTAAAAGAAACAATCTTATCAATGGGCACAAAAGCAAGCAATAATCTGAACTAAGTATGTTTTGATAGAAATTTTTGAGAAACTTTCTAAATATAAAATGCAAACTATATGAGACCAGGAAATCCAGTAGAAATAAAGTGTTTAAACATATAAATTTTTTCAAAATATTTTTTTTTTCTCCAGCAGAGAAATGAAAATAAATCGCCTGGAAAAACAAGGACGAGTTGATACATTTAGTACTAATCTTCCGAATTATGACGTATTACGATGGTTCCCCCAATTTATGAAAGTAGAAAGAAAAAAAAAGAACGTAGTGTATTCAAAGAAGAAAGAAACACATGGTCAAATTAATGACATGAATGTTGAATCCGCGAACAATACGACGTATGGGCGTTACGACCTACTAAAGTTTAAGCTCAAGTTAGGTAAGACAGGAGAAGGAAAAAAAATAAAAACATGTTTTATTTTTTGATTTCTACGCACGGACGATTTGAGGAGCCTTGCCTACTGCATCCAACATACTGCAAGTTCCGGTATAACGCCGACGCTCAAGAATTACGTAACAAAGAGAGAAGTGTGCACTAGTTTTGCGTGCATTGTGCGGCGTTTTGGGGTGATAAAAGGACCTTTTTTCTTTATGCTTTCATTCTCTTAAGGTATCCGACTACCTTCGGGACAAAATTTTTGAAAAATAAATATTTTNTTTTTCTAGTTTTTAAAACTAGAAAAATTGGGCATTATTATAAAGCAATAAAATAAAAAAGTGATTTTTTGTGAAAATCCTCTTTTTTAAGGTAGTCGGATACCTTAAAAAAGAAAGAAAAAAAAACATTTTAACCTTTTGGTATAACCTCCGTTCATCTAACGCAAGATGTGGTCATAAATACGCAGAACTGGTAGTGATTCAGAGAAAACCGTGAAGTATTTTAATAATAGCAGATCTGTAACCTAAGCAGTTAAGTTGAAAAACAGGAAATATTTCAAAGTGGAGCAGCAACTTGGAAAAATATGATTTAGGTGATTAATGGCAAATCCTGTCTTTTGTTTAAAATATTTGAAGCAAAATGAAACGTTTCTGAAAAGTCAAGCAAATAGTTTTATAAATATATATTTTGACAGTAAATTTCAAGAATAAAGGGAAAATGACCACCTAAGGAGGTAATTTTTAAGGTCAGTCACATTAGATTGCTCTCCCTCCCTCTTATCAGTTCATAAATACATATGAAACATACCTACCAGTTTGTCAAATTGATTTGAACATTTAATTCAGTTGTTAGTGACGTCAAACAATGTTAAGAAAAGCATAGTAATACATCAACAAAACTAAACTAAACGGTGCTATAAACTATACCTGGCATAAAAAAAGAACTAGAATACAAAATAAAAAAGAATGGCAAATATTACATTTTTGTATGGGTTCTTTTTAGAAACGTAAATAATTTTAGATAAATAATCAGTAAATTTCAAGCTTAAGATATGTTCAAGCATTATTTGAACTCATAAAGGAGCGATTTTATTATTTTAACTTAATATTTTATTGATATAAAGATATATAACTTTGTTCATATTAATATGCATTAAATATTTGTATCATTTGCGTCCCAGAAAAAAATTACTTGTGTCAATCAATCATATTATTTTCAATCGAATTTAAATTCTAAGCAATCCCTAACACTTCTACGAGTACAACGTTACGAGAGGCCCTACAACTAACTGTTGAAGAGATGGGAGAAGGGGAGGGGATATTTTAAATATGCTTTTAATCCTTTTTATTCAATTTTTACAAATATAAAAATGATTGGATATTTACTCTATTTGGCAGTATCTTTCGATACATGTAAAATACAAGACAGGCATCCAATCACAATTTGAGATTGTATCTCAAGGTAGTATCTGCTACATTTTACATTTTCAAATTCATGACTTTTCATGATTTTCCATGACTAATTCCAAGAATTTTTCATGACTTAATGAAGTTACTATTTTCATTAACACAACATTAAACATTATAACAACATTAATTGAAATGATAGGTATAACCAAAACTGTTATACTCTACATCTTCAAACTTATAGATTTTGAATTTAAAAAACAGAGTAAAGAAAGAGTTGAAGCAAATAAAATGGCTGAAAAAAACACAAAACCAAATAAATTTTTTTTCTTCAGAAGTATATTCAAAAGATACTTTTCTTTTTCAGGGTGTGTAGCCAAATCTTTGAATCAAAAATAAGCACTTTTTAAAAACTTTTCAAGCACTTTANCCGAACCAAGGATTGACATTAATCCGTGTAAACAATGGTAATTTATCATCAAGCAAAAATAAATCTACTAACACGAGATAAGAAATTTCTCGTAATTTGTCATGCTCTGTTGAAACGACGGGGAATTCTTCAAGGATCACAAGACTAATGTGTGATAAAGTTATCAAATAACACTCCTTTCAATACTCAAACAGGAGTATCTGCTGTTTCCGCCCAACAAAGAAACACAAGAAACAAGTAAAGATGCGGATTTTCGGTACATACTGATTTGTAAACATGAATAAAACAACCTTTTTTTTTAAAAAAAAAACTAGTCTAAAATCCAGCCTTGTCATTTTAAACCGGTGCTATGCAAATAATTTTGAGCGAGAAATATAAAAACTACTTTGGTGCAACCACAACTATTTTTTAAAAAAATTTTCTTATAATATTTGATAATAAAAAACAAAAAAAAGTTTTAAAAAAATGCCTTTGGATTGGAAAAGATCCTTTTGTGTAAAACAAATGCCAACATAAAATGTTGGCATTTGTTTTGCACAAAAACTACTTACTTTACTACTCTTGCACAAAAACTACTACCCGTGAACTTAAAACAATTTTCGTTTAAATCTATAGGGACAATTATTCTCCACAATTATCTAATGTATATTTTTATATCAGACATTTCATATCCTAGGACATTTAGCTCATTTGCGTAAGCGCCAGGTCACCTTGGATTTCATTAAAATGGGGCTGAAATGAGAGAAAACATGATGGGTTGATTAATTTTTACAGAAAAAGCGCACATCAAGCCAACGTATAAATCTCTTCTCGTTTAAAATCATCACGGTTTATGCAATCGAAATGAAAATCAACCCATTAAAAGTAGATTTGCATAATCCTTTCAAATAATTACGAATTTAAATGTTCCGTACAAGCTAGGGTGAATTTTTATTTATTATTATGTAAGATTCAATAAAAGTTAATCCAAGAAACTGATTTTTTTTATCACATTATACCTTGTAATAAAACGCTTGACTACAAATGCGTAAACAATTCTTGAAATACAGCAACAACAAAAATAACTGATTTAAATTTTTTTTTCTTTTTTTAAAACTTACTATATATCTAAGTGTGTACACCATTAGTTCATGAGGGGCAGCCCAATACAATTCAGAAACACAAATAAAATGATTAAAATTCTTTGCAACATTTACAGCTACTACGTCAGTAAGTCCAGGACAGCAATTCAAGTGATCACTGTTCATGTCAAAACTAGTCAGACAGAGTAGGCAAATTGATGAGTCTGCCAATCCGATTTTATAAAGGTGTTTCCTAAGGTAATCATGATCGGTTAATATCTTGAAGTTAGCTACACACACCCCGTCTAGGCAGATCATATGGTAATGGATTATCCAACAAAGAATCCTAGGTCTTCCCACTGGTTAGATTGGTGAAAATTTCATGCTATCTGGCTTTAAACTTTACTGTAATAATTCTTTTAATGCTATGGCAGGGAAATCTAGTTGAGGAAGGTTAGATCCGGCTTAACAAGCGAATCAGCAAATTCCTTTTCTACGATACCACAATGACTCGGTATCCATTGTAGGACAACATAGCGCTCCCTTTTTTTTTTTTTTAATTTTTTTTTATCAGAAGTTAGCATTCAAGAGCAAAGCTATTTTTAGCAGGCCTGTGAATCAATAAATCAATTTATGCCTGTGAATCAATAAAAATCACTATGTTCTATTCCGCTCTTTCTGCAATCTCAATTAATGCAATATGAACCGCATCCACTTCACCATGAAAATTTGTACAATGTTTTCCAACGGCTCTGCTGAGGCTTAAGTGCCTGAAGTAATCAACACCACCAACATTTGTATGAGCCTCAGTAGCAGAACTAAAATATAAAGAAATATAACTCTTGATGTAAATTATATTAGGAACTAAGTTGTGAGAGTTGACTCTAAATTTTAAATTTTTTATTATTATTACCAATACATACGTGACAAAAAAATAGCTATAAAAATAAACAGCTCATAATGTAGCAATTTTTATTTTTTTAAATACGACAAGCAGTTTACAAACTTTATTATTATTAGCCTAATAATTGATTTATTTAAGTTTTAAAACCCAATAATAACTTATCGAATTTAGAACTTAAAATTCTTTCTGAAACAGTAATTGCTTATAGATTTAATTGTTTATTAACTATAGCTTATAGATTTAATTCTTTAAAAAAGATTTTTAAAATTAACGTAACACAAGAATGAAAAAAAAAGTTTAATTATTTAGTCTCATTAAAAAAAAAAAAAAAAAAAATTTTAAGGGCGTAAGACAGAAGAATAAAAAAAAAAAACTAGTTCCAAATAACTAAAAAAAAATAAAAGATTAAATTTCCAAAGGAACAAACCACATTAAAATAATTTCCAAAACAGTATAATTTTAAAATTATGCAATTAATCAATCGGACACAATACGTAGAAATAAAAATAGATTAAAGAATTTTATCAAGTTTTATTCAATATTTTCAAAGTAACTTAACCGTAATTGGAGAAAAAATAACATAAACAAAGGGCAATATAACAAGAACAAAAGCAAGCTAATTCCATATGAAATCTTGGAAAAACAAAGATAAAGAAACTTATTTTTTTAGATAATTAACAAGATCTTTAAATCTCGCCAAAAAAAAAAGGAAAAAAGAGTTAAGATGTTTTAATTAGCTCCAGAATTCCAGGCAGTCACAAGAGCAAATAATTGGGCAGATCCCAACAAATATTTACGTAACGAACTAGCTCTAATCTCTTTGTAGAAAAATGAAAGCAACCGTGCGAAGTTCTTGCACACGAAACTTTACGGTATTATGAAGCTAACACAGCAATGGAATTTTTCGCACAAAATTTTTTAATGAGAACAACAAAATTCGCTTTCAAGGTCTTTCTTTCAAAATACTATAAGCATTTACCCCGAAGGACTAAATTCGTTCACTAAGTTCTTTGTCTTCCTGAAGAAAAAAATAAATAAATAACGTATGAATAAATAGATTATCGTGAACAGAATCAGAAATTAATTGAAATAAGTTATTCAAATAAGTTAATCCTGTGCAAGTAACTTAAAAAAAAAAATTTCGAACACAAAACACATAAAATTTTGAAAAAAGTAGCGCGACAGAAAAGAATTTGTAGAGAAAAAAAGCTAACAAGAAATTGAAAATTGTTATGCAATGTAGATTTAATAAGTTTTTAATACTAAATAAAAAATTTCTCAAATCTACTTTTTTTCGAGATGGCAGGCTTAGACAGTTAACATATTATTTAGAAGAATTTGTTATAAATACTGAAGTTAATTAAATATCCTTCAAATTTAAAATATATATTAGCTTTTCATGTTAACTGTCTTCCCATAGAATTTGAGGGGTCGTTCAAATATTAAGTAAGCATGTTTTGACCAATTTTTGACACTTTCCCAATGGTTACATAAAAATGTCACAACACCCCACTTAACTTTTGATTTTACTTTGATTTTTACACTATATTTTATACAATTTTGAGAAAAATATTCGTTAAGAATCACTCTCCAAGGATCGAAATCCTTGAAAAAAATTTTTACCAAATATAACTTTTATTTCGAATTCAAAATTTTTCCACTATATAATTTTATTTTCAATAAAAAAAAAAAAAATTTAATTAGGCGACTTTAGTGGTTGAGGTTAGCATCGTTCAAGCTTCTTTTCCAGCTATACCAGCAAAAATAAGACAAATCACAAATACTTCACTTTTTAGGAGTTTGTTAAATATATTATGTTTTTATTTTATCTGAACAGAAAGGTTTTGATGATTTTAATTTGAACTTAATAATAATCGGTCATGTGGCATTTTCTTTTTTTCTTTCTTAATTTGTGGAAACCAAGTGGTCGACATGTGAAACAATTTGTTGGTCCGTTTTTGACCCCAAATAGAAAATGCGATAGGGACCAGCAATTTGTTGGTCTACTTATAACCCTGGAAAGAAAATTATATAGGGACCAAAATATGAACCAAAAATTAATTGCTCCACTCAAAAAGTTGAACACAAGTGATCAACATATTTAAAAGTGGAATTTATTTTTCTCAATTCGATACTAGATTATTAAAGTTTAACTTAGATATGTGATCACTAAACAAAGGTGGTCAAATTAACAGACTTCACTGCACCATGGCATTCTTATGAGAATATTATTGAGAGATGTTAAAAAGTGTTGTAATCCCAAGACGTGAATATTATTAAACTAACAAAAGTAAAGCGCAACTATTATTCCCTGAATTGAAATAATTCAGCAAGTAATATGTACTGTGATCATACATTTTTATAATCAACTAGTTTAAATGATTACAAGGATAGTAAAATATTAATTTCAGCTGCTGATGTAACTATAAACGTAAATAAAGTCGTCACAAATACAATGTGCAATATTAATACGCAATAAATTGAACAGATATGATACAAAATCTCATTTCCTTTTATCACGATTGAGAAGATTTTTATCAGGAGAGAAAAATCAACGAATTGGATTAATATCACAGATCTGACGTCGCTCAGCGCAAAGTAAATAACAAAGGCTCAAACAATTCTGAGAAAACACTTAGAAGTTTTAACAAGAAACATCGTGATAGTTTAATAATTCGACGCAGCGCAAGAAAAATGCGAATGTCAC